TTGGTGCCTTTTTAAGCCACTTATAGGGAGATATAAATACAGAGTCCCAACTATACCTCACTTACCAGAGATATTATTATTATTATTATTATTAGTACTAATATTCCTGCACAAGGTTCGTAAATCCTCCAGAGCATGAACGGCACAACTTCCAAATTGGTGGCCCTACCCTAACATAATTATAATAACAGATATCCACGTCTTTCACACTAATTTGGTGGGTTTCTTTTCCATCAATTAGGAAAAGCTGGGCTAAACTGTCCCGTGATACGAGTTGATTCAATCGCGAGCTTAGTAATTATTGAGATATCCCCGAAATTGAGTGCAGCCTAGTTATCAATGAGAGGGGGAGGGCTATCTTTTTTTTAGCACCGCCGGATTTATTAGGATTTATCAGCCAAATGGTTTAACTTGCTGTGAATAAGTTGAGGCGATTTTTCCGATAGATATTTCTGAGGGAAGTTGAGACTACGGGTTTTAAGAGAGAGAGAGAAAGAGATGCAACTGCTCAGTTATTCTCAATTTTACTCTTGTGAATTCTGGGGGTGCAATGTTCATTCAGAAATGTTAAATGTGGCAGCAAGAAAAATGAGATTTTAACCAGTTTACAATTCAACTCTATAAATTTCCACCGAATATTTCCTAATTTTCAAAATAGAACAAATGAGTTTTAAAGTGTGGCACCAAAGGCAATCGAATTTAACGAAAAGAACGCTAAATACTTTTGTGACCTGTGAAAATTTAAACGTTTTCAAAATAAAAGTAAAAAATAAACAAATAAATAAATTTCTATCGAGCTAATTTCTAATTTCGTGTCGTCATTTTAATCTGCAATAGTCGCCATTTACAAAACAAATCAACTGCTTACAGTTACACTTTAAGGAAAATAAGGTAAGAATATTTTTGAAAATTTTCTGTGCAATTTATCAGTGAAACCTGAACACGAATAAAATACGAATATCACAATGCAGTGCTAGTGTAAAAAAAGGATGGTGAATGACTTTTATCTGAAAACAAACGAGTTGAACAACATACCGCAGGGGCGTAAGAAGGTGTTACGATACAAATTTTCGGAAACTGAAACAATTTGCGAATTTTTTTTACGAGTTGCCAATATTCAAGGATATCCTTGTTCTCGTGCAAATTAATTTGTCCGCTACGAAAGCTAGTGGCATTAGGTGGCGAAGCCCTCTAGCGGTTGGCGATGCAACCCAGTGATATCTCCTTATCTCTGACGTAGCAATTTGCCGTCAACTTTAGAGCCAAGTTCAAATTTTACTGCGAATCTTGAGCTGTCAAATTAATTAATACGGAAGCGTCTTAGATTTCAACGAATTTCTACAAATGCGAATTTTATTTGAGTGAATTATCCTTTTAAATTATGCCAACTTTTACGGGAAGCCATTTAAATGAAATAATTCTACTCTTTCAAAATTTAACCGTGTTTAAAATTCGGGTTTTCCATTTTTCGCAAAAATATGTATGCAATGTTAAGCTTTGTTTATTAAATAGATGCTTTAAATATCTGATAAATCTTCTACTTTATAAAAGCAAAACGCAACAATTATTTTAAACAAAGCAGTGCTTCGGTTCGTTCAAAATTCAACAATTTTCAAATTTTCCTTTCAACATTAGTTCGTGTAATGATTTGCGGAGTAGGGGTGCAGTACGCCACTCGCTAATAAAAAGTAGCTCTCGACTGGAGTATAATGCTGGGACTTGTGCAAAAATTGCAGTATTTTTCTACCACGTCTGCTGCTGACTGAGGTACATTTGGGAGTTCATGTTGTTGACGTGTGAGGCGAATACCGACTGAAAGCTTGGTGTGTACAAACTTTGTTTGTATACAAACATTGGCAACGAACGCTTCGAACTCGAGAGTGAATGGCTGGCAAGCTCGAAACTTTAACTTTGCGTAGATTTTGCACTTGTTCAACTCTTCCATTCATTCATTTTCGCGAATGACGATAAAACGTGTTGGTTTTCATTCATGGGGAACGTATGCGGCGGCGTGTTATGTGTGATCTGCAAAAGTGAATTACTCGCCTTTTTCTATGCATCTCTCGCGTTACAGGTCTCCCTGCATTCTGATATGGACGAGTTCATTGATTTCTCCTGTACAATTCAATTAGGTACTTTTGTTTGCCGTGCAAGCCACTTTTTTGCATGAATCTGCATCGCCAATTAACGCATGATGCCACTTATTTGCTCCCTTTTAATTTATGAGTTTGCCTCCATTTCTTTATTTTTGTTTGTATTAAGTGCATATTTATATTTTTTTGTAAATTGAGTGGTTTATTTGGATACGTGCTTTCTCCGTCGTCAGGCATGATTAGTGAAATTATATGTGAATCTTGATTTTTTAAATACGGATTGTTTTTGAGGCAAAAAATTGATGAATCTTGGAAAGTGATTTTCATAAGCAGTTTGAATTTTACAAGAGGAGATGCACAGTAAAATATTAATTATGTAATATGTATTTATATGTGTGTATAAACGTTATAGGCTCTTTTTGTACTTCTAAAATTATTTGCAATAAGGGAAATTTACAGTTTGAAAATGCAATCCATATTTTAAAATCTAGACATTTGTTGAAGATCATTATTTAAAAGAAAGTTCAGAATTTTATATTTTTTTAGAATTAAAAATGTGATTTATATGCGCATACATAGGTTTGCATGGATAATATCTGTAATCTAGTTGTAAATAGTGATGAAAATATCTAATCAAATTGTCATGATCCATAATCTTGAATTTTATTTATTATTATAAAAACAAACTAGCTTGGGAAGCTTGTTACACTTGCTACTTCGTCAAATATTGTTAAATCAGTTAATTATAGTGTTAATACGTCATATATGCAGATTTTTCATTTATCACAGAGTTGCCAAAAATACGACACAAATATTACTTAAAATTACTTGTAATCATTACACTACTAAAAACAGGCATATTTTATTGTTTCTTAAAAATATGTGGAGAATCACATGAAATGATTCATTCTGGTAGTTTGTTCCATGCATTTATTGCCCAAGATTACGATATTTCGATTTTGCATAGATGAATTAAATATTCCTATGAATTTTTTAACATTGCTAACAACAAACCTATAGTGTCATCCTATTGTCTTACATAATTAATTTACATTTGTTATTAATTTGAGCGGTGATTGTTTGTTTCCAAAGAAAAATTGATTACGAGTTTGGGTTACTAGCCGACTTTTTTTAAACAGGAAGGTGGTCTAGCCATCAAGGTTTTCTTGCAATTGTGTTTTCTGATTTGTGTAATTTCCAGTGGAAGCCTCGTGTCCATTTTTTATGCGTAAAATAACTTACATGTTCCTCAGAACCTTATCAGCACCACAAAAAAATTAACCACCGAGTTGTTGTCCTCTAGCCTAGAATCCCGTATCCGCTGGAAACGTAATTGTCGGTTTGTGTACAAATGGGATTTCCAAAATGTGGAACATGTCGCTACTAAAAAACGCCAAAGTAGAAGATTAGCATTGAGGTTTAGAGGAAATGGCAAACCAAACTAATCCTTGCCGACCATGTTATTGGCCTAATTTCATTCAAATTATGTCTCTATTTGATGCATAATCAATGCATCTATTTCCATTCAATCCGTATTATCGATGATATTCATAATTCAGCAAGTACGTATTTTTCACCACGTATTTGATAGATTTGAGAGATTAAACTTACCACTTTGTTACCGTCTGAAGAAAAAAACAAGACGCGCTCGCGAGTCGGGGGTCGTAACCTAAATCATGAATTGACACATCATATCATACAAAGTTTAGTGACCGCATCAAAAACGGTTTAATGCGATTTGTTCAGTGAGTAATAAGCAGCGGAGAAGAACAAGAAGAGATGATGTTGATGAATTAATTGCTGATTGAAGTTGCAATTAAATTGCCCCTTCGACTATCTACTTATTCCGTTGGCATTTGCAACAACGGGAAACGTTTAGTCTGAGATGGATGTGCATATTTGGCCCCCCGTGTTCCGAATGTCCCGAATCATTATGTTCTGATGTGGCCAGAATATCCGATTAACTGACGAGCATTGCTAACACCCTTTGTCTCATTGCCTCGTTGTTGTCTGCTCCTTTGTTAAGGCTCGACTGCATATTTATGAAACAAGGCAGCAGAGTTTTGATGCAGATTGTGGGTGCGTATATTTTAAGACGATTAAGAAGACTCGTTCATCCCTGGGTCAGAAATGTCATGGTGCATTGTCTCTGTTTACAAAGATTTTTCTTCCCAACTTCGACTCAGTTCTCAGAAATTGAACAAAACCGTGTCTCGAAAAATTGCATATTTACTCACCTGTTGAAATGAATAGTAATTTTTAATTAATAAAAGTCAATTAAGAATGCGACGTTAATGGGCAATACTTATCTTCGTATTGTACGGAACCTTTAATTGTTTCAACAACGGCATCAATAATGTTTTGCATATTACTGTCACCTGTTTGCCGTCATGTTGTTGGCTGCATGTTTTATTTATTCAAATTTCCGTACGTAAGTACGTATTCATAATGGGGGAATTAATATGAGCATGTAAAATGTCAAGCTCACCCGTGTGATTTCATTTCATATTCAAAGAGAGTACGACTCCTCGCCTGATAAAAAGCACCACGAGTTCAGTTATCTTTTACTTGAGCATAATGGAAGCAAGCCCACTGACTGCTGATCTTTGTCTTGACTTATTGGTAGCTTGATTGACACTCAATATTCCAACGTACAATAAGACCGGGCTGATGAGTGGGCAAATTATTAACGCCGGGTTCACTCTTTCTATTCCTATCGCGCCACGACGATGACTCGAATGTCCTGATGATGACTTCAAGTCTGACCAACCAATTTGCAAGCTTGTGCTGCTGTGGGGCATTATTTTTGGCGTGGATGGAGGTTGCAATTAGGTTTTTGTATGTGGTCATTGGAGAGTAAATGAGAATCGTTAAATTAGTCATTGAAACTTTTGATGGCTTTTTACATGTAACAGGAGACTTGTATTGTAATTTTATTGAAAGAATTGGTAACGTATGCATGGCGTATGTACAGTACAAATAGACTCGTGTTATGTATTTACTATCACCCGGAAAGTGTAATTCATTATGGTGAATAAAAAGTCATCAATTTCCGGGAGGCCATTGAAGCCTTGTTTTTTATTGAGCTGGCCAAGTGTTGCTAAGTTTTATTTACGGATCAAATTCAAATTTAACCAAGTGTTTGGTAGGCCACATATTTACATTTCATGATTTGACAGTCTGATCCGGTAGAATATTGTGAATTGAAGGAATTCTAGAAGGCCTGCTTAAAAACACAAGATATTTTTTAGAATCAGAATCAATGGCAAATGTTTCGCATATGTACCCATGTTATTTACGTATGTGTATAAAAATACGGATGCACAACTTGGTGGGATGCTGTATTGTCAACGCGGATGCCCGCTTGCATACTTGATGACCACGGTTTACTTTTGATGAAAAGGTCCTCGTTTTCGGTGTCAGGTCCCCACGTCAGTCAATCCTGGGCTTGCTTGGGTTGGGCCACCCAAACAAATGGTTTAATCAAAGGTCACGGTGTCATCCAAAAAAAGGCTGACAATGACGGAGGATTACAGGTGTCAGTTCACCGGAGGTGACTGTACTGCTATGCTACACGGCCAGTTCTGTAACATAAGAACCATCATTATTTACGAGTCTTGGTGAATAATTTATTTGTTCATGAGTTCAAACTTATTAATATACTGCGTGAATTTTCTACATTTAATTAGTCACTCCTCAATTTATTGACTTGATTGACGATCGATCTCTGAAGCGTAAATGGGACGATGAAAAGGATCGGATGAGACGTTGAGGTTTCATGTCCCAGATCTCTCTCTGATTTTTATACCAGTAAAATAAGTACAATGTTATTTTATTTATTTAGAATAAGTAAATGACTTTGATGATAATTTGATATTTCAGAAATTTAAAAAATATCGATGCTTAAATTAAATTTATGCACAATGAAAGCACATTACCAAGTTGACACTGTACATCCATGGGATTATACAGAACAGTTGTATTGCATGGTGACGAAATCACTAATTTTGATTTCTGCATTAAAGTTTCGAAATGTTGAGGGCAGGAGATCCGTCCGAATCGGTCCTTTTACTTATCTTTGACGCATTCTTAATATCTTCACCTATAAAATATTATAAATAATCAACTAGTTTAATATTTATTAAAAAATAGTCTGGCAGCGCATCACACTTTTTTTATGGACGAAAGACTAATAATAATTGTAAACAGGGAACTAGATATACGAACTGCCACTATTTGTTGGAATGTTTCTAATAAAATTCTAAATTCTGAAATTGTAAAAACCATGCATTAAATTAATGGGCTAGTTTGTAAAATTTTTAAGCAAGTATTTGCAATATAAGCAAGTATTATATTTTTCTCTACTTTTCGAACCATTGTTCATTACCGAAACCATATCCCTGGAGTCGAATAATAAACGTAATTATTTATTCTCCTGTTGTGATAATTACTCCTCAAACGAGACTATTGTTCCGCTACTTGACTGCAAAAAAAGACTCATTCATAACTTCAAAATACGTCAAAACACGCCGTGGGAAATTATGATGTGCGAAATTAAATGCTTCATTAAATCCTCTCTTTGTTACCTTTGTCGCCCCTGCTTGAAGTAAATCAGATGTCGGACTTTCAGACTTTTGATAATGACCAGACCTTGAAAATCATAAATACCGACTCCTCTAATTGATTGAATAATCATTGTTCTACTTCAAAATTGTCCAGCACCACGGAAAGACTTATGTACTTAAAAACCCCATTTTCTTACCTGATTTTCAGCAATTCCGTTGCTTGGTCAAGTAGAACTGCGCAGTAACCCGGTGGTAATACCATTCCAAATTATGTCGGGATTATGAAGTACGTTTGCATGAATCAAGTCCCATTGCAGAACTGCCAGCCCCACCTCATCTGCGATTCTTGGAAAATGAGGTGTATCATCCAGCAAAAAAAAGATCTCTGCCCACATCGAAAAAACCTGTTGCCCGATCGAAACATTGTATTATGGAACAAGTTTTTATTCCTTTTATCCTTTTTTGAGACCGGACCACATCATTACTCTTTATAAGATGTCTTGTTTTGCATAAAAATGCACACTGACTGTGGTTGACACCTAAGTACACGATTTTTGCAAATTTGGCCAAAATCAAGCCTTGGATTAAAGATGATTGGCATGCCGTAATATTCTCTTCGATAACTAGGCAAACATATTAAGCTATCACGCTTTACCATTTCAGTGGATTTGTGCTGTATTAATTAAATGCAAATTAATCAACAGTTAACACCCTTAGTTCTTAAACATTTCATTGTTTAGTTGTAAATACATTTTTGTAAATTAATTGCAACATACTTAGCGATGCATCCTTGATAGAATCGTCTAAATCTCAAAAGCATGGCTTAAATTAGAATATCTAAAATGAATCACATTTTAAATTCTAAATATTTTTCAATAAGTGGAGAAAGTCGTTTTGGAGAAAGCATGAATAACTGGAAAATCGTCGAGTAGATATTAAACTCGATTTTAAATTGATATTAACCCACTAAATCACAAATCTCACCGCTACTACTGTTTCGTAAGCACAACTAATTTCTTGCCCATTTTTTTACCTTTTCCAGAGTTGGAACCCTTGAAGGCTGAATGACCCGAGTCTCACTGCAGAAGTGCCATTAAGCGACGCGTGGAGAGACAAATTTCTCCGTGAGGATGGTAATTCTTACCAGTATCCATTTGCTCAAACAGGAATAAGACCGATCTTACGATGATTAACGCGATGGGGATCATGTGTCACGGGCAATCGCAATCAACCCTTCTCAACATCAGCTACCCATCTCAGCAACAATATGTACGTGACAGACTCAATACTTTCATGTTTCTGGTGTGTTTAAAATCTTGGAAATTTTTGTTATTTTTCTGACGTGAGACGAATGGTGGAGAAAGTAGATTTACCCTAAAAAAATGTACATTTTCCCATTAAAAGTCTCACAATGCCTCCTCTCATCCACATCCAAGTAACCACATTTTCATAGCCTCATAAATCCGAATCGATAGTATTTTTAACACTTTGTAGCTTTACATTCTAACCTTTTGATGAAATACCGAATTCGTAGACGGCTTTTTTCCTACGAAATTTCCATTCGATGAAGAAAAGCAATTGAAACGAGGAGTTTGGTTTGTTGTCGTCGTGTGGAGTGGACTGCTCTTTGGTCGTCTTGGTTGTGGTGCAGGTGTAGAAATCTTGGCTGAATTCACCTTGCTCGCAGGTCGGGTGAATCATATGCATTGCATACATTTCGTGCCGCATAGTGAAAAAAGTTGGCGAATGTGGTGTGTAGTTAACTGCGATGGTTTTTGCTACTACTCAACCTTACTCGATGCATGCAATTTTATTGTGGAGCTAGACTCGGCCTGGAGTGGAACGATTTCTGATCTACTGCATGTCTGGATTCCTACACACGTTATTTACTTACTTATAGGAATTTTAGAATTGAAAATAATCCGAAACTTTCATTGATTGACATTGATTTTTTAAATAAGTGACGAATTTTGATTCTCGACAAAAAATACATGTGTTTCCAGTGAGTTTTGAACAGACAAGGGTTGTGAATTGAAAGGGAAAGTTATGAAAGTCCAATAAACAAAGTGTAGATAGCCGAAATACACACGTCTCAGTCTTCTCTTCTCTTCTTGGTGCAATATGTCTCAACTTTCCCAACTTAACTTGAGCATTTCATCCTCTATTACGATTTGAGATTTGTCCTCGTGCCTGGAATACGGATTTATGCGACACGTACCAAGTAAGAATTTTTATTTCGCTGTTTTAGCTCACAATTTTCAAAATATTTCTTAAACTGTGCTTTCCATTTTCAAAATCTCTACATTAATATCAGGATTACTTAGCCATAATAATTCCTACTTCAAATCAACAACATTATATATAATACTGGATAAAAAAGCCAGGTTTTAGTCCGATTATGACTTTGTACATATGCCATTTCCTTCGTATATTGCTCATTAAAAAATATATACCCACACATTACACCACAATGTTGTACATATTTAGTTCTCCCAGTCTTAAAAACCCTAGACAAATAGTTTTGTTTTGAAAAGTAGAATATCTCATACCTGAATTTTGCCTGCTGGATTGGATGAAATCGTTTAAACCCTCGTGTCTGTCTGTGAAATCGGCAGTTTACTTATTTTTATGAAGGCATCATTCATTCCAACTAAAGAAAAAGCTACGAGTTCATGTATCTACGAGCATATGATGAATGTACCCAAGAAGATCTAGATAAATTATTATTAGTTTCTTTATTCCACACATATTTTCTTATCGTGCCTCAAACAAAGACCGACCACGAACATTTTGTATTTGATGAAGAAGCCTCCTCCAATCAAAATGTGCAGTCATTACATGAATTGTTTTTCATTTGGGCAAGAAAATGAAACTTATTTCTTATGTGTAACAATAAGCTAGTAACACTTCACGCGATTTCATGAGAAACCAGAGGAGGAGAGGGAAGGCAGGGTTTTATGGTATGGCTGGATCTTGAGAACAGAGTTAGTTAGTGGGGCTATTGAGGACTCAGAGTTCGTTTTATGTGGAAAATTAAGCATGGTGTATGTAATCATTTCCAATAATAGCTCACAATTCACGTGTTTCTGTGTGAAGGAGACACATTGACATTTAGAGGTTCGGTCGTAATTAATATTTCAGCCCATAAATTAAACGACATTAGTTTTCAATTCAAAGTATGTTAGTTAACGCATGTTATTAACTACTTATTAACTTTAGCTGAATCTCACATTAGCCCATCATTCTTATCTCCCTACTTAATTGCTGCAAACTTTATTAATTTTATGATAATGATTGCGGACATTAAAATAAACAAATGGGCGAAATCCTGCGAGAGCGGAGGACACTTGTTGCGTAAAAGTTTAATGCCCAATTTTTGCCACTGCCTGATTAAATATTTGGCATTTATGTAAGTAGATCCAATGTCTCTGCGTGGACGGACATTAAAGAAACATAATAAATAGTCGCTTGCTGGAAAATTTACTCCCACAAATTAACATCGTATTGTTCATGCTTAATAAAACTGAAGGTTGCCTTTCGCAATTTTCGTGCGTTCGTGTATGTTAAGTAAAATTTGGTCAAAATCTCTGCCCAATTTTGATCCAAAAATACGCACGTTTGTGTGAGAAATGAAGACTTCTGCTTTCCATAAGTTCATATTTTTATGAGTACTCTCCACAAAATAAGGAATAAATAACCGGTGCGTATTTCTATTCTAAAACGTTTTTTCTGTCTCTTCTGGCATCAAAAATAAGGCATCAACCTCCTAAAACTGCGTGGGTTTGCACACCAAGTTTCATAATACGTACATATCGCCCTGTTTAAATCTTGGACACTCCTTCCATTTAAAAATTGCAGTCTTGAACCGTAAATTGCACATAAAAATCGAGTCTTCCTTCAAGCACATAACAAATCTACCTACTTATTTGCATCCACATCTCATTGGGTATTACTATTTATTATTATTTCGTTATCGCGTACCCATTTATCTGTAACGTTGAGCTCTGCAGACTGGGTGGCTAATCCAATTGTTCACCTTGTTTAAATAATGCGACTGCCTGGAGTTCTTCACACGCTCTCGAAACTGAACCCCACTGCTACTGGGCACGCTAACCCTCTTCCTGAGGTCAGCCCAACTTTCAAAAGCCACCATTTTCATAATTGCATGCAAATCTATTTCATTAACCGCCTAGTTTTCTATTCATGAAAAGTGGGGGATCACATTAGTTTTTTGAATCGGTACGTCGCCCCGGTTCAATTTGCATGTTGAACTTTTAGTGTCGCATAATTGACCTTCTTCTTATTTTTTTAAGAGTCTCACTTTTTTTAAGGATTACTTGCAAGCATGCAAAAAATAGGTAAATAAAAATAGATGATTGAATTGGTTTGTTGTGAGAAAATGGGGAGAACATGGAAATGAATGAGAGGGAGTCGGTAATGATGGTGGTGCATAAGATGGGCAACCTTGCTCTTGACTTTTTCATGAAGGCCGTGCGTTTATGATACTGCAAATTAATTAAACATCACAAAACAATACGGCTATACGTGAAACCGTAATCGCTTCGTTGTGCTGGTGAGTGAAGCAATTAAAATATCACATTATTCGTGTTCCCTTCACTCCATCATGGAAGGTACGACTGGAGCCTGCAAAACGTATGAATGATCACGATGCCTGAGTGCTTGCACACATATTTCACTTGCTAAACAGTATATAATGGTAACCGACCATCTTGTGACCAAAATTTCGCCTTCCTCCACCTGAATTTTTTAACCTCCAGAATTTGCTTATAGTGCATACTCAACCAACCGAATAATTATATTACTCTTGCGGTGAAAATGTACATAACGCATACAAAGACGCAAATATGTATCTGGGAAGTTTGCATACATATTTTCTGAGCTATTGTGCAAATAACACGAGGGGAAGATGAGAGAGAATGCACAAATGAAGTGCATCATGTTTTGCACATAAAAATCGTAACTAATTGTTGTCATAATTGTGAGTTAGTTTTTACCAAAGGCTTTTTAATGCTCAATTAAAAAATTTTAAAGATGGGTTTTCCAAATTCCTGTATGAAAACACCTTACATAATTTGGAATATTGGTTACATAAAAAGTTTATACGGCCAGATTCTCCGTTTTTTTAAATGATTCAAATTGCACTCGATTAATTCATACCTGACGAAGAAGTAGAAGATAAATACGACGAATCTGAATTATACAACAAACTAGATGCAAACCGTGGGTCGACTTTTGACTGCACGAGGAGGGATGAGAAAAAGGATGTCCATGTGTAGGCAGCTCTTCTTCTTGCATACAATGTTTTTTGCATTGTCCATGAATTATTTGTTAACTGCGAGAGTTGATGGTATCGCATTTCACTCACTTTGCGTAAAGAAATATGTATGTACAAAGTTGCTATGAATCACAAAACTACCCAAAGTCATTAGGTTATTATTGACACGTGCACCACGTGCAGCATTCCTACGTACGTACACAAAACGCACTAGTTTACCCATTTTTAAATAAAATCTTAAAATTTGCATGCGTAACTTTATATATTCAATTATATTCGGACTTAAAAAATCAATCTAACGTGGAGTGATACACATACTTAATTCGTACAAAAAACCATGTGAGATAAGTATTTTCATACGATGCTGGTGGGTGATGCTGCAGTCTGATAAGACCTTTTTTCAAACATTAGTCATGATTCCTCAGCACCAAAGTATATTTTCATTCCGAGTTGGTTGTATAATGAACATGTAAAAGTAGGCTTTCGCAAATATTTAATTTCTTTCTGGACTAAATTGCGAGTTTGCATGCGATGCAGCCACAATAACAAGTCTGCTGGTTGTTATGTATCCATGTTATGACGGTGCATGGTATCCTCCTGGAGGTCGAATGATTTACATACGTACATACCTTCCCCAAGCAAGTAGTTCAGGATTGTCCACCACATCGCCCATTTTTTAGATTAATGCAACAAAGAGTAAATTACTGGGATTATGCCAATCTCCAAATTGCTACTTCCGCCCATTCCATCCCATTCCCCTGACAATGACAAGTTCTCAAGGGTCTCAAGTTCATGTCCAAAATCTCAACTTGTTATGATTCTCGCTGGTTAGTTAGTCGTCCTAACTCATTAATTATTACGGCTTCACTTGAACTGAAAGACCTTCAGCGTCGTCCTCTTCCATTCATAATTGTTGAGAACTCTTTTTAACTCCCTCTGTAAAATGGGATTCAATAAAATGCGATGAAAATATAGGTGTCAAAACAGTGAAAAAAATACTGGGAAGCTTTAGTACGCATGCAATCAGGTGAATACGTATACGTATTCATAACGCCTTAATTATTTCAACTGGAAGTAATTGCTGGCATGAAAGAAAGAAAGAAAAAATATCAAATGTCTCCACGTTCCAGGCTAAAAAAATCTGGGAATCTTGTTGCTGATAGAATGCTACTAGTACCTCAATTAAACCAGATAACCGAGTACATATTTACATATATGTAACACTGCACGTGTGCATATGTATAAAAATGGGAGGGATTTTGTTTCGGGTGGAATTGCAAATTGTGAAATCCATGCATTTTTTTGCTACTTCTTTCCAGTAAAAAATACATATTCATTATTGTAATGTGTAAATTATTAATTGGCCGTAATTGAGTAATTACTTCGAGGGAAATGAATTGATTGTTGTCCAGTGGAAGTTGCGTTCACTGGATTGGATTGGATTGTGGACTTGTCGTAATTATTGTGATACCCAAATACGTAATGATAGTGGTGGGGGATCACTAATTAGAGAATATTAGAAATGGATCGTGAGATAATATTCTCAAGTGCAAAGTTTCATCTTGAGGTGGACCAGGTTGGCTAGCGAGATTTGGTTGTGCATACGTACGATTAAATTATTCTCCAATATACTTTGTATTGTCTTGCGGCAATAATTTTTAGCTGCCAGCCTTCACCTTACAACTATCGCAAAATATTGGGTGCAATGTGATCATAGATCATTTTTTATATATTTATTCCGTCCGTCAACATGCTTCACTTTATTTACAGCATTTTCAACGAAATATTTAGTAATTTTCAGCGAAATTACAAAATACACAATTCACAGTAATTGGATTCGAAAGCGAATTTGATCAATTAAAATACATGATTTCAAAATTTATATTCTTTCGAGAAATTCTCAGACTATGGATCAAAATATTGTAAACATGTCCCAAAAATTGCACGTGTTCTACACTATTCTTCTTCTTAGCTGTCCATCAAATTGTCGTTCTAAGAGTTGGAAGGTTAAAATCTCCAGATTTCATGTGGTTTGCATTTCTGTTAAAAAAGAAAGCGTGTAATCACAAGCATCAAGCAGTACGGGATGCACCACCAAGGTCAGACGTTTGCTGTATCTGCGAAAGATTTCACATGACATGAAATATCAGCGTGTGCCTCTGTTTGTCGCAACTTTATAAATTTCTTGTCCCGTGTCGAGGAGTGCAATTTTTTGCAATTATTTAAATTGCAGTACAGAAGAAGATGACATTTCACAGAAGAGTTGAGTTCTCACAGAGTCGAAGCAAAAATCAGTAGCAGTCACATCATTTTTTCCATCAGACGTATAAAAAAGACCGGACAACTTATACATAAATTGCAGTCCTACTGAATTTATTCGATCTGTTAAACAAATAATTCGCAGAAGTTTTCCGTAACGTCAGATGCAGATCTGAAGCACATATTTAACCCACGCCTTAAAAAACAGAATACGTAAAAATATATAAATCTGGAAATTAATCTTGAAGTATTCGTACAGCAATGCATGTTTTAATTAAATATTGTTACGTAATGTGTAACTTGGTCAGTAGAACTTAATCATTTTTATTTAATTCTCATAAGCCATATTTTCCACCAACTTCTGTATTTCTCACAGACTCTCACATTAATTAGTTCGGTGTGACGTGCAAAGGATACAACGACGCTGATTGCCTATTGACGTATTGACTTGAATTGTTACATGATTCAATTTACGAGTCGAGAACATAATTGGACATGCCATCAAGATGAGAAAAAGGAGACTGAAATTTGCAGCATTTTGTTTGCATACATTGTACTCGTTGATGCATTTAAAACTTAAATGAGGTCGAAGTATTCCGTCTGCGATGCGGTGACCAACTTAATTATATCCATAAATAAACCATAGTTTTCTGCAATATTTCCATTTCCTGTTCCGGGTCCAGTTGAGTGGAAATAATGTCAATATTTTGTATTTATACCCCATTCAGTCTGGAACATTGTTGATAATCTGATTAAAATTATGTGTCAGCGAAAAAATAAACACATCCCATCTCCAGCAATTTGAACGTATTTACTTAATATTAAACATCAACGTTATCTAATCATGCTGCAAATTAGTCAGGAATAAACATTGGTTTGTGTAGTTAGCGGATGATCATTGAGTAATTAAGCAATTAATAAGCAAGAGGTTTCTGAACTGGGCCAGCACGTAATATATTTCTCATTTACACCACTTTAAATCTCATCCTCCCCTTCTTGTCATAATTATTTATTACGTACATTGGTCACACTATTACTAATCAGCATTATTCGCAGCACTGCAGTGGTTTTTCAGTTGGTAAATCAACCACATTCAATAATTGATTGATTTTCACAATATCGGATGAACTGTGGTTAAGGATTCCCCAGCCGTGGTGGTTGGTGAGCAGGGGATGTCATTGAATCCTGGTATTCAGCAGTGTCACACTGTGGAATGACATAATGTGACATCTGCCCAGGACGTAATGAGAGAATGACTGCTTCTAATGTATGGATGGACACACCACTGGAAATTACTTTTCGTCATGATCTTATCACATCTACTATTCGGCAATGATGCATTATTATTATTTCTCAAAATTATGAGAATCCAATCCACGCATAAACAATTTGCTGAACAATACTTCCATGTAATTTGCAACCACATAAAACAACACGACGCAAAAAAATCATTAGAACACCTTGCTCAAGTCGTTTTTATCAGTACCAAACTTTGGTTACTGGTTAGCCTATTTCCTCCTCTCTTCTGGTCAATAAAGTGTGTGGAGAACATCATCCCAAGATTGATTTAGTTGTGTGTGTGTACATAAGTATTTGTAAAAGCCTTTTGCTAGAGGATTTCTCAATCAGTTTCAATTGGTTCTTTCGTTCAAGTAAAAAAAACCAAAGGTTACAAATACACAACATGCGAAAAATGTTTGGAAACTAAAAAGCGATGCGGTGGTCTCCTCCTCAATGGTCAACGGATACATGGTGGAATTTAATTGGAAATATTCCTTCGTGGCTGTCGTCATAATGTCTCAATTGCCGTAATTTATTTTCTCCCATATTTTGCCCCATTTTTAAGTGACGGTTACGTGATCTGATATCTTTGAAAGGAAGCCGACACTAGACGAAATTAAGTTAAGAAACTTTGTTGTACACCTTGTATCTGTAAAATTATGGATTTTGGCGTCTCACCTCTCGCCAAAAATTAAGTTGCATGTATTCATTCGCGTTCAAGTTCGAGTTCCAGATACGTGACGAGGTTTACAGGTTTTTAAACAATTTTTAAGCCAACCTTGCTTCCAAAAATTGACGACAAATACCAAAGTTTAGTCACCCATCGGTACTGAATTTACTCATCGTTTCTATGATACGTACATATTTAGCAACATCTGTAAAGTTTAGTGAACCCTGCAATTAGCTCTTCTGACTAATGGCTATATTTATGAATTGGTTGGTATGCTCTTATGCGAACAGAGCATGATCCACATTCTGAGAGAAATGTCCAAATTTCGTTCAAAGAAGAATATTATTATTATTGTGATTAGATAATTAGTGGTGCTCCAGCTGAAACCAACTCCTCCTCTGAAATTTGTAGCTATTTATTTATTAGAATATGTAAGTTGTAATGTTAATTTGATTAACTGAAAATGAGGAATTGGCGAGCAAGCTGCTTGTGTGTGTAGCTATTTACTTATGCACATATGTATGTCGTTATATGTACCATCGCATCACGTAATCCCAACCATTTCTAGGCACATACATATGTACCCACACAGATCAGCATCATCACGACGCTATCAGTTGTCACAGTCCGTCAAGTATTTGCTCTAGAAACAATAAAATAAAATATTGGAAGAACTTTTGTCGGTTTGGTTTGGTGCCTGACTAAATTAACCAATATCCGTGCAAACTTAAGAGTCATTAACTAATTTGATTTCTAACGGCCGTTTAGAGCGAGAGAGGTGTGCTGTCAGTGTCATAGACCTGATTCTAAATATGATTGTGGTCATATCACTGAAGAGTTGAATTTGGAAATTAGTGACGCATGAAACGAAACACCATCAACAGCATATTATTTTTCCCATTCTCGCAGTGGTCATACCCAAAGTAGTAGTAGCAGTGGTATTTACTCAGCAGTGGCAGCAAGTGAGTGGTATTCTGGGCAAGAGGGTAATCTTGGACATCTTCGATTGACCAGAATACACTAATCTGAGACACCAACCAAGAAACAAGCATCCCCTTTGTGAGAACAAAGATAGGGAAAAGTAGTGCAAGGAACATTATGCAAATCAGAGTAATTAATTCGAAACAATAACCTACCTAATTGTGAGACGAAGAAAGTCAACGACATGCATTTGCGCGGAGAACCTTTCGTGAGTACAGATACGATTCCCATCCTCCTCCGAGTTCTTGGGTAGCGTCTCTTCTTCGTCTAGAATTATCCTGAGGAGGACGACGATACTCAAGTGGTCATTCGTGTGGTCTGCGTGCTTCCGGCCATTTTGGGCTGCTAAATGCAGACATAGTTTGCTGTGGTGTGGCTGTGATTGAATTCTACTTTATTACTTTTGTGTCTTGGTTCTTTCTCCAGTGGGCTCGCTCATCTTGGTCGATGCGGGTTCTCCACCAGTCTTCTGAGGCTGAGAGAGGTTGCATTTCATCAAGTGATTATTGGTCCTGATTTCTAATTGGTGTTATTAATCAGCTACTAAAAGTATGTCCTCACAGGATTGACTTTTGTATGGTCGAGCACATACAATTATCTCTGCAATTAAAGTCAGCTAATCGCATCCAAATAAGTATTTAACCATAACCAACCAAATAAACACCTAACATCACAACTATACTGCGACGCCACTGCAGAATTGATTGGTCATAAACATTTACATGGTTGTGGGATTTTTCAATTTATCTTTAGAATCCATTCAACCATTTAGACAGGTAGTTATCGCTTTTAGTGCGTGCAGTGGAGTTTAAAGTTTGTGTGCAACGAGAACTATTGTCCGAAACGGTACCGGCTTTATTGTTATGCCTCTTGTGGCTGGAGTCCAAACATTTAAATCTCCAACGAGGAAGTCTAATGTGAGAAGTCTTGTTACAAAACACGGATCAATATAGAAACAGTCATCACTTCATCAGTTTGCCGTTGGTCATTGACGAATAAGTAAGAAGGTCAAACCATACCGTTTTTATGTAAAACCTCAGCCGAATGTATGCTACATATGGCACGGGACTCCTCCCCTCCCAGACGTGACACAAAAAGCAGTCTGCATTTTAAAATTCAGTTTTAACTCGTATTTCTGCCTAGATTCTTCAAACACTTATACATAAGAGAAAATTAGTGGTAATTTCTACTGCTACTTAAGCAAATCTGATTATCTCGTGACAATAAGTTAAGGGTTCTTTAATTTGTGATTTCTTGGACGAAAAGTAATAATTTCTTCGCTCTTGTTCAATCCTGTGCAGTCAAGGGTAGGAGTAGCTTCTTGAGTCTGGATCGTTTTAATTTTTTGGACTAGTTGTTTCCAAGCGGTGAAGAGTTTAGCAATAACTTTGTTCATTCATGGTGAGACGATTCTTTCTTTTCAAGATTTTTCTTTAAATGGTGAATAATAACGGAAATTTATTAAGTCAAAGTTTCTAGAAATTCGTAAAATACATGGGCAAAAATCAAGGTCCATATTTAACTGAAAATGGCGACTTTTTGATAAGCTTGTTACATCTTAATTTTCATTTACAAGAAATGAACTTTGTCAACTTGAATAGTTTTCAATGAACTCATGCATTTTTCATTTTTGTCTTCATTCTCAACGTACTTTGGTTTGTCAAACGTGTGCATTTCCATGCACAAGATGCATATGCGCGTACTTTGTCACCACCTGGACGGGATTTTCATTCATTTTGCATGGCGATGAATGTGAACTATTTCGATAAATTATGTATTCATGTTTATATTTTCTCTGATTTCAGGTTCATGGAACATCGATCAATATGTTGGATTGCAAAATGAACAGTTCGCTGAGCCCGGTCACTCCAGTGAACATTCATCAAGAGGTAATTTTTTGTGCTTTCTTGGAAAATATTATTTTTAATCCAATCATTAATTAGCATATTGGACAGTGTCGCGTTCCGCATTTAAATGCCTTACATATTCATGCATATGTGCATATTTATGCATCAACTACAAGAACCACTCTTATTATTTTGCATGCATTTTTAAACCAACAATGCACTCATTACATGATACGATTTTGTGTTTCTCTGCAATGTCATTTTTACATAAACTTAGGACTAAAATAAATAAATCAAGCCAATTTCCTGTCCTCTTTTTGCAGTCGTACATGGGGATGTGGGAACAGGAACCTTTGAATCAACAGCACCCTGCTAAAATGAATGACATAATTGACATGTTGCACGAGCCGAGTTTAGCGCACTCGAGCGGGGGGACGACCTCGCCAACGACCACGATTCATCATCAAAACCGAGGAGACTGCCACTTTCAAAGTTCTCATTACTTGACCCCTCTACCCAACCTGGGAGACCCGTACTCTTCCGGAGAATGTCACCAGATTCATCTGGAAGGATTTCCCCCCTCGTCCGACAATAACTTCCACAAATGTAAGTTAATGCACTTTACAAGAAATACGTCAAAGTTGTGCAAAATTTCTGTTACCCACTTAATGATTTGCACACACACACACTCGCCAATAATTTGAGTTATTCGTCTGAAACAAGTTCCATTATCGTTACTTTGGTTTACAAATGGTGATTTGCGGTCACATGAATGGATGTACGCGTACAGATCTTCAAACCATGTATCCAAAAAGCTGTACCTAAAATGACTCTCAGTACGTATTTGTTCTGGGTGATTTATTTAGTGACTGAGTACGTGGAGTATTTATCTCAGTCTCAAAATGGTCATTCTTGACGTACTAAAATATGATAGGAATGTATTAACGTACTCATTATTGCATTCCAGTACCTGAAACGCCCTCAAACTTTTCGGAAAACTACGACATGTTTATTTCCGATTTGAATCCACCTCCTCCTCATCAGCACCACAACAGTGGCAGCAATTCCATGATCAATAACAACAGCGTCCTGCACCACAATGGTCAATGTTCTCCTGGCTGTATCTGTTCCTCGTCCCCCTTCAGCCCGCACAACCACCACCATCATCATCATCACAACAATAATAATCATCACCACCACCACCACCACTTGAACCTCAACGGCGACCCTTTGGGTGCACTGGGGCATCCTTCATCCAACTCCTCGCAGCAGGAATACAACTGGGACGATCTGACCTGTGACCCAGGGGAGTACCTCTTCTTGCCCAAGGGAGATTCTCCAACCACCTCAGGTCAGTAGCAAAACCGACCCAGTTTTATACTTCCAAATCCCAACTTTGTATCGTATTTTTGCGAAAACGCCAAATTATTTGGCACTTGCAAAAAGTACATAAATTTGGCCCAAATTTACCCCTGTCGTCTGCCTTTTCAGAATCCATCAATTCGTACAATACCGACATTGACTCAGAAATGGAATCAAAGTCATCGAGAGGAAGCGTTTCTTTACAAGAAATATGCCACGTGTCACCTCCCAAGAGAAAAGTTGGCCGGCCACCAAAAAAGGACAAAAAGATGAAACGCAATGGTAATTTTGAAAAAAATGTGACTTTTCATGACAACGTTCGTTATCAATCAACATGAACTCTCAGCAATGTATTCCACGTACTCGATCCTTAGAACAATTTCGATCCAATAATCGGACATGATTGGCTTTGATAATGGCATAAATAATGCTAAATTTCTAGTATGCAACCAACAATGCACGTCATTACATGAGCTGCATGCATGCACACACCATTGTTTTCCACGTATGTACCCACCTGACAATTTCGTCGTCGTTGCATATGTAGCTCTGTTTCTCGAATTCAATTTTATAGACCATTTACACGTGTCATTAAGCATTTTACATCTCGTTTCTTTACTTACGTACGTCCATCCATACATATTTATTTGCTCCTTGTTTCTTTCTAGGACTGTCTAGAAGCCACTTCTTCTTAAGTGGAGGGTGGTCAAAATAGGCATAGCGTTTGATAACTCATACGATTCTATTTTTTTTTACTCTTTCAATGTAAACTAACAACTACTACCCCGTGAGCATCGTAGGCTTGCATCGGCCACAAAAAAAGCTGAACATTTCTTGTCCGATCGAAAGAAACAGTATTGGACGGCGTGGAGGAGGTCGTTTTTTCATAGCAGAATAAGTAGCATAGTGTGACGTGATATGGATTTTATTTCACGTTTTAATGGAGCATTTGGCCAGGTAGTAACAAACGAGTGGGGTTGATATTATTATTACGAAGCGATCTTAACTACCTGCGAGATTGATTGTGCAACCGTGGCCCAACGCACCACATTAACCATGAGAATTTCGAAACCATTTTTTCCATTACTTGCCCATCAGCAGCAGCAGCAGCAGTGCAATTATACACTGAACAAACTCCTTCCAAGACCGTGATGATGTGTATGATACCAATAATGATACGATAGCTGCAGAACTAGTCCAAAGCGGTGTGCACGATAAAACCAACAATATCTACGACTGAGAAGTGTAATATGATGCACCTCCGATGTAACGTCCGATAGGAGCAGAAAACTTGCAATTTTTGATTCCACTTAATTTGATACTTTAACAATGTAACGTGCTACAACAATGTTTGTGTCCTTCCCAAAACCAATTCGTGGCGATATGCGAGTGAGAACATTATCATGGGTTTCATTGTGATCCACACAATTCGCAGCTTCTCGTCGTACGACTTGTGGCTGAGGGGATGAGAGCTGATTGGTGTGAATCATATTGTGAGAGTTGTTCATGATGAATGTATATATAACGCAACGTCTGATTACGAGGAGGATGATGATGATGATGGGATGCAGCATTAAAATAGAGGGCAAAAAGGTTACCCTGCCGCCAGAATCTTGTCCTTCTACCTGCAAGATACACATCAGAGAGTTATCTAATAAAATGTAGAATATATATAAATATATATATAACTTAACAGTCTGGATTTGTTGATGACTTCTTGCAGAAAAGAAGACTGGGCGTCTGTGGGAGTTTATACGTGACCTGTTGAAGAATCCAGAATACTGTCCGAGTCTGGTACGGTGGGAAAATCCTGAAGAAGGACACTTTCGCTTCGTTAATTCTGAAAAAGTTGCTCAACTGTGGGGACAAATTAAGGGGAACCCGAGGATGACGTATGAAAAATTGAGTAGAGCCATGAGGTGGGACGCTTTATGTAACTTTTACGGCACGAAATTATACTTTCAGTTGCATGCAATTGTGTAGCACGAATAAATTGTGCTTATTATTATTGCCTTTTTAGCATGATTTAATTATAATTTGGTCTCCTCTCTCTGTTTCAGATACTACTACAAAAGCCACGTTTTCGAGCCAGTATTAGGACGAAGATTGGTTTACAAATTTGGATATAACGCAACGAATTGGAGACCTGTTAACGCTAATTTCGTATCGATTCAAAAGCTCTATTCCAACTAACTCAATATTATTATAAGCAATTTTAATAATATTTTACGTATCATCGTAAATAGTCCTCATCACGCGTATGTATGTATCTTAAGTAATATATAGATCAGAATCCGGTCCGGCTGAATAACTGAAACCCCACACCCACGCGCACCAATGGATTTGGTTAATAATTCAGAAGGAATATGGCAAATTTTACTTTCTGATGCTATAAATTCCAACTTGTTGAAGAAATCGATTTCAACATGCAACGACCCTTTAGCCTCAATTCAAATCGGCATTTAAATTTATGCGACATTAACCTGAGATTTCAAGGGATTCTCAATTCTTTCGCCAGTAATATCAGTATACTTATTTTAACAGTAGTAGAAGTTTGGTAGTCGTTTAGGTTATTATTATTAATATTATTTTAATATGTGGAACACCACACAGAAACTAATTGAAGAGAAAACTACACGCCAGAGCTCAGCATCAAATTTAGTTTTATGATCAGGTTTACTTACAAATGTAGTTTACAACTTTTGTGCAATCAATACCTTTTAACATGTGCTAGACTTTGTTCATATCACTGAGAAATAATCGTGCCTTCAAAAATATCAACGTATCGATATTTTCCAAAATTTCGGCTGAAAATTGTTATAAAAAAAGCATCTGCATTTCAACCAAACTCGGTAACAATTTGTGATGATACAAATATTATATAAATACATATATCGGTCCATTATTACTCTTTTACACGTAACATAACAATATTGAATGAAAGCTCAATAGCAAGTCTTTTTTTTAAGTGACATTATTAATTAGGAATAATTCTCTCTATATGTTTCCTCTTTCTTCGCCCTGTCATGTAAATTTACACCTTTTTTGTTTGTCATTCATGGTGCTACTAATTGTCCTATCAACTTAACAAACTAACTTCTACTTATTGCTAATTATTACCACCACAATTTTATGTGATGTGATTTATAATTAATATTAAACAAACGGGGTATTCACACATTTCAGCCCCAGGACTGCAGTTCATGTTCTCTTTAATTCGCAGTGATTGCTGAATAATTCCTATGTGTTGCATTTATTTTATCTTTTACAATTAGTGGTTAGTGCAGTGGTCAACGTTTTCAATTCCCGTATCTCGTTAGATAGAGTTATTCTCAATTCTAATATATACATAGATAGATGCATATGCATATTATATTTAGCTCTATGTTACACACACACACATACTTACATAATACATCATCATTATATTACGGTTATTGCGACAAGTTAGTGAATGACATGCAGTAGATAGAAAGAGGTGAATATTGATTGTGGTATGAACAGCATCCCATCGAATGTCTCATTATTCTCAAAAGAAATTTAGTCAAATACATTTTAGGATTTTATTTTACCTTATTAAACGCACTCACATTTCTTATTTCTAGTTTAAGTATAATCCAAAATGTATGGTTTCTCTGAATGATTTAATGTAACATAGATAATTACTTAGCTCTATTATTTACTGACAACAATTAAATATTATACAACGATTTATCACAAAGACATATTTACATACATACATACATAAACATTCCACAAACAGTGTGAGATTACCCATTCTGCTTTCATTTGTGTAATATTTCATGTAAATTTAGTTGAGTTAAGGATACAAACTACATAAAGCTTTACCGTAACGTTTATGTAACTAGTTCGTATTGTAAGTTAGGTAAGTAGGAATTATTTGTTGAGATTTTTTAGAGTTTAATAGTCGGAACATTATAAAAATTAGGTATGAAACACTTGGACGACAAATTATGTATGAGCTAAAGATCAGTTCCGTCAAAAACCACATTGTTACAAATTTTGTTATGGTCCTTGAACACAAATTATTATATTTTCTGTGATTCCCTTAATCTTATCGAGTATGACGACGTACAGAAGCATGAGCAACGTGGATGAAGCAAACGTACGAGCATGCGGAGGACGAGGTCATGGAAAGCAGTTAATGGTTGACTGGAACTCGAATGTTCTTATCTCACTCAACGAGTTGTTTTGTATAAAGTTTATAAATATGATGACAATGATTTACAATATTATAAATGTTTTTTTTTGTGTCGAAATAAAAATATGTGAATTGTTAAACGAAAGAGTTAGCATTTCTTTGAGATCGTTCATGATGCAGGGTTTGATGGGTTTCAGAAACATGCACGTTCGTGAATTAAATCAAAATACATTTTCATGGTATTACTGTTTGCATTTATTGTTTAAGGCATTTTTTTTATTCAGATACATTAAAAGTGAGTACTTTTTTTAACAAACCGGTGAGCTATTATTATTATTATTGACCACTGGGATCACTGGGAGGAGGACAGATGAGAGTTGCATCACAAAGACAAGCCCTTCTTTCTCGGTTGACTGTTATATAGAAAAAATACACTATAAATTTTATGTATGGTATCTCCAATTCTAGAATATCATGAGAAAGACAATGACCCTCATCAACACGGAGGAACTAGGTCGGAATATGTACGACATACGATTTCCCCAAGACCGGTTGGAGCTTTGGCCTGATTTCGTAACAGCGGTTCGGAACCCGAAAAGGACACCTGCTGTGTGTCGAAGTAACGCACAAGGTGCTGCGGACATGCACCATATTTTTTTATTTAATAAGCTAATAGTTTTAGCTGGTTGCTTAAAAGAAGCCAGCTGAAATTATTAGCCCATTAAATCCAATACGGTACATGTCCGAGGCACCTTCTGCGTTCTTAAACACATAGCAGCGTTCCCTTCTCGTGGTTCCGAACTGCTGTTACGAAATCAGGCCATAGTTCCAACCGGGTGGCGGCTGCCCTGTCGTACATGTTACGCCCCAGTTACTCCATGTTAATGATGGTCATTGTCTTTCTCATGACGACATCATCTTTTATTTATAATAACAAAAAATGGAGAGCCGACAATACCTGTTGTTCTTGTTGTTATTTGTAGTGTAGTAGCAATGTGTAGAAACGAATTAAGTTATATAGTTACTGAAAATTGGTAAGTAGAAAAACTGTAATTAAATGCATATAATAGAAATCCTAAAATTAGCATCGGCTTCGATCAGGTTGTCGTTGACGTGGGGCGGCACGAATGATATTGTCGACTCGCATAATCATTTCGGCGGCTTCAGCAGCAGCAAACACAACGCGGCGTTTAACAGCGAAAGATTCAGTAATTCCCAATTCAGCAACACATCCCACTTCTCCTTGATCCATGTCTAAAAATGTTGATTGAACATTTGTAAGTATATTTGTTCGTCATTTAATGAACAAATATTTCAAAAATATAATGAATGTGCAACTTACTCAACCCATAAGTTTTCAACCCTCGGCTGTGATGAGCTTTCAATTGACTGACGAGTTCAGCAGAATCGAATCCAGCATTATCAGCTATTACAGTTGGTAGGGTCTACAATAATTTTATTTATGATTAAATTGTTTAAAGCCATTCAGATTTTATCAAACTTCAAAACATACCAAAAGAGCTTTCGCAAATGCTTCAATGGCAACAGCTTCTTTCCCACAGGTTTCAGAAGCAAGTTTCGATACTGCTGTGGACATGAGAACCTCACTACAGCCTCCACCATACACGGTCCTAGTTTCCTTCACCGTCGCAGTCAGGACACACAATGCGTCATGGAGAGATCGTTCAGCCTCGTCAATGATTTGCTGAGTGGCTCCTCGGATGACGACGGTGCATGCTTCTCCACGAGCGACACCGCTAAAGTGAATAACTTTATCCTCTCCGATCATAATTTCATGAACAAGCTTGCATGTGCCAAGTTTAACGCCGGATGGATCATCAAAAGTGGATACAATTTCACCCCCAGTGACCAAGGCTAGTCGCTCGATCCCATCAAAATCTGCATGCTCAATTGCCATTACTCCAGAATCCGCAAACAATTGTTCAGGGTAGTTGTAGATCAATTGTCTAGCAGAACAAGGTAATAATTTAGTTACTAAAAATGTTGATTATACTAATTATAAAGTCAATGTGAAAGCAATGCAACATACCGGTTGATAAAAACATTGATGTCATGTTTCAAGATTCTGTTAACCTTGTCCTTCATCTTTTCCTTCTCAGCCGCTTCAATTTCTGCAACTTTGGAGGTAGAATCAACCTTAACGCGAGATCCAAACACTTTAATTTTATCAGTGTCCATAGGCGTGTTAGCGACTAGGATTTTAGCATTTTCAATCATATGTGGCTGGTTGACTCCAATTTTCTTATCCAAAATGAAACCTTCAGCCAAGAAGGAGTCTTTCAGAGTACCGCCTTGCTTCTTCAGAATTTGAATAGCATCCAAATTTCCAGATCCTTTTAGACGCAACACGGCATCCACAGCCAACTTTGTAAAGTGCTCCTTATGTTGAGACAAGATCTTGGAGCTCAAAGTTGTTCTTGCAATGTTAAGCAAGTCTTCCTTGAACTTTTCAGGGTCACCACTGCACAAATTTAATTAGTAGGACTCATTATTACAACATTTACTATCTTGTATAGGCAATATATATAACGAAACATACCTATTGTCTGAAGCTGACGCTTCCAATGCATCCAAAGCCACCACGGCAGCAGCCCTCCATCCCTTGAGAATTGTTTGGGGGTGCAACTTCATATCCACTAATTTTTCCCCCTCGCGAAGAAGTTCAGCCGCCAGTACAGTAACGGACGTCGTTCCATCGCCCACCTCCTCATCCTGAATTTTAGACATGTCCACTAAAATCTTGGCTGCCGGATTATCCACTCCGATTGACCTCAAGATCGTTGCACCATCATTCGTAACTTCAATCTGGATTATGCAGACCAATTAGTTCATACCAATTAATATTATTTAATATTATGCATTCTTTTGACTCACCGTTCCTTCATTTCTTCCCAATCCTACCAAAATCTTGTCCATTCCCTTCGGCCCAAGAGTAGATTTAACCAAATCTCCAACCGCAATGGCCCCGATGAAACTGCTCATCCGAGCAATTTCTGCCTTTTCTTGGTCGGCCTCAGCCCTCAAGATCCTCACCGGATTTAAAGACACCTGTGACAAAAACCAGGAATATTAACAATACTCTCTTAGACTTTAACCCTGTTAACCACCCTTGTAACTCCTCAACCCCATAATTTCATATCCCTCTTGTTTAATTTATTAATTTTTACTCAATTATTCAAATTTTCACTTTCTCAAAAAATCTAAATTTCATCACTTTTGCAATAAATCTTCTCTCACCCCCAAAACTTAACAAACCCCCTCCCCAAATGATAACCACACATATTCACTTACCATTTTCCTTCTTTTTATGCTTCAACGAATTAAACTTTGCGAAAGACAAATTCTTATCAGTTTTTGAAGAAAAAAAGTGAGAGCACGTTTTTTGAGATGCGAAACGGAAAACGTGACTCAAAATGTGACTCTTCCAGAACAATTCTAACTTCACACTGCACCTTTTATGCGATACCCATGCCGGTGGGCACTTTTCGTAGCTTCCCTCTCCGTGCTCTTTTTGAGACGGGGCAAGGCAAGACTGCTTCGCTACGGGGCGTTTTTTGTTTCTCATTGACTCACAATAACGTCTGAAAGTGGTAAAAACCTGGTCAGTCTAATCAAAAGGGGTGGCTCAAAGGCTCCAGAATAATGCAAATTATGAGATCGTACCAAATGCTTCATAATTTTATGAAATTTTGAAAGAAATAGGCATTCGTTTTTTCTCCATTATTTGATACGTAGCATTGTTGAAAGTTTAGTAAATTCAGGTTTTGCATTTCCCGACATCTGTCTGTGAGTCAGGTTCAACTGTATCTCTCCTCTGCTGCTGGCTGCTGATGATTTGACAGTAGGGAGTTGACGGAAGAAAAGTGTTAGTCAGACTCATCAAGTGGAGTGAAAAACAATAATTGCAATTTTCTAAATTCAATAGACTTTTGAAAAAAATAGTAAAAAATGGACAATTTTGCCGACACTTTTGGTGGGCCACCGGAACCCCCGGTGGAGGATTTTGACGGGGACGGGAACAATCTCGAGGCAGATCCAGCCGCAGAATTTTTAGCTAGAGAACAAGAAGAATTGGCCGGGTTGGAGGATGACGATGACATTAAACCTGTCGTCACAAATGGGCTTTCATCAGGTGGGTGTTTTTATCATGGTGTAAAGTTAAGCATAACTAATTAAAAATAAGTGTAGTTAGTTAAGTGTGGTTAGAATGAGTAGGTTCCTAAAAAACGAGGGGGTGTTTATAATTTGTAATTGTTTTTGGTTTGATTACAGAATTTGAAACTTCTCGAAGAAGTCCGTCGCCTGTTTTTAACGAGGCCCCACAGAGAGAAAGACCTCCACGTGAGGAGCCAGAAAAAATCAAAAGGTGGCGAGAAGAACAGCAAGGGCGGTTACAAAAGAAAGGTGGGTGGATAATCATTCATTCATTATGCCGAAACGTGACGTGGTAAATGTGATGGATGCTAATTGATTTTACATTCTTTATCTGTAGATGAAGACGAGGAGAAAAAGAAAGCGGAAATGAAGGAGGCAGCCAGAAAAGAATTGGACGAATGGTACAAGACCCATGATGAACAAGTGGTCAAAACTAGAAATGCAAACAGGTATAGGAAGTTGGAACTCAATTGATCGAACATCTCTTTCTCAGAAAAAGAGATCATTTCTTTTTCTTCTTCTCGTTTTTCATTTTCTCAGAGCAACGAATATCAATAAGCGTTTGAAATTTTTTGTCTTCCTTTCCTCAAAAAGTGGTGTCTGACTGAACAAGTTTATAAAATTTATATTTTTTCATTCACTCTGTCCTTCTGTCCAATTAAGCGTGCTAAAAATGTATTCGTATCATGACTTAAATGTTTCAATGGTTCCATGCTTTCCTAGGGAAGCGTCAAAGTAAGAACAATAATAATGCAGTTTTAGAATTACGTATGTAGTAGTGAGTTTGTATTGCAGTAGTAGTTTTGCTTCGTCTCGTGTGGTGTGTGGCGTATTATTATGTCTGGTAGTTCAATGTTATTATTTAGAGTAAAAAAGTACAATTTTGTGCATGTCAACTAAGCATTTATTGTTCTATAATGGGGAAAATATTTGTACTAATTTCAGGAGTGCCGAGAAAGAACTTGTGGCTGACACAGAACCAATGGCGCCTGGAACGGAGTGGGAGAGAATCGCGAAATTGTGCGACTTTAATCCTAAAGCTAGTAAACATACAAAAGACATTTCTCGTATGCGTTCCATCATCCTCCAAGTGAAGCAAGCTCCTCCAATGAAACCCTTAAACTAACTGCTTAAAAATATACAGTACATTCAAAACAACAGTTATGAAAATCAGTTCAGTGCTGCTGTTGGTTGGATGAATTATATGCATTATGCACGAGTAAATGTCCAGAGAAAGAGGGAGATAGAGTAAAAAGGAGGCGTAATCCACACCAAAACTAGGTACTATATTTATTGTTTAAGTCACGTATTGTAAATCTTTTTTAGTGAAACTATACTACTGGTAAAGTCAGTGTGTGTAATTGAATGAGTGTCTTGATTTGAGTGACAGTTTGTAAGAGTACATGGTTCATCAAATCATTGAAATTAATAAATAATCAACAATGAAATGAGAATTTATATAGGAAATGAATTGTGTTGTATTAGTTACTCATTTTTGATTTATACATTTACATATATGCTTTGACCTGCACGGCCAATTTCTCATTTTTTTGAATTACTCAAGTAATTCGTGATTTTGTATTACAAGACAATTATTATAAATCATTTTTCATACTACGAGAATTCTATTGATTATTCATACAACATTGTCATCATAGAATTAAATTCAATCTGCATACAATGAACACAATCATTTCAAATTGTAGTAACTTTATAACAATAACCAAAAACGCATCTTTCATTTTTTCATGTTATATCAATAAGAATATTTAAATACACTGGCTATGAAACTAAATTTGAATGACCTAGACTCTGGCAGCGTTACATGTTAGCCTGTCTTTGCAACATTGTAGCAAATCTTTGTGTAATGAGTAATGAAACGTCCACAAATCTTTGGGCACAGTTATCCATACATGCTTCCGTTTTAGATTCCAATTTTGACGAAGGTTGACCCATACATTTATCCCAACAGAGATCCGTCATAGCTTGAATCTTTAATACATCACATAAGAGAAAATTTAAGTTACACATCGTAATAACAGTATAACACAAAACAAAAAATTATGTAATCAAGGCGAATCGTGTCCAACCTTACCTGCAACCTCATTCTCGCCTTTTCTTGTTCCATAGCCAGAAATTCTTGAAGTTCAGCCGAATCTTGAGCAGTCATCGAACCCCCTGCACCCCCCAGGGCTGGAGTACCACTCCCAAACGCGCTATCCATCCCGCCTGCCCCCGGCGAGGAGAATAAGCTGCTGCTGGCTGGCGTGTCGAAATTCATTCTTTTTATCAAACTTTAATTCTTAAAGACTTTGATTCCTACAGAGAAAAATGATGTAATAAAAATTCACAATTAAAAAAAAAACATTGATATGTTCTCTACCATCAATCTCAGTTACCTTCCTTCTTCCTGGTCTCCGCTTCTTATTCCGCTTAATATCTCTTGTATCTCTTGGCTTATCGCTTTAAAGCTTATCTTCTTGAGATCAGAAAATGAGGATGGATGAGAAAAACCTGAAATGCACGTGAGGGTGAAATACTCCGTTCCGGGTGAGACTGGTGAGATTTAAGCGGAGCGGTTTGTCGGGGTTTCTCACTCTGTGGCCTGTGGCCCTTTCTCTCGCGCACCTTTTCGAATCCAGCTACTCGGCTACCACACAAACACAAGACCACCACCACCACCAAATTCACACGAAATCAGCTTGTTCTCCGCTCAACCTTATCTTCCTTCTCTGCCGAGCAGTGATAAGCCCCCGTTCTGGGTTTGGTTCCGTGTTGTTCAGTGGCAGTCTCGACGTATTCGAGTGTTCAACTAACTTTGTAAACCACGGATAAGCCACGTTCAATATTAGTTTAATTGACATTTAAATATATTCTTTAGTAGTTATTTATATCAAATCAAGTACTTATTTTCATTTAAAATTTGTTATGTGTATTAGAAACACGGTGTGAAATGTGTTAAGCACTTTCATCTCATGGGGAAAGAGGAAGGAGGATAGAAAGGTGTAAATCCAAGTCTGGATTGGGTGAGGTTGGGTGCTCAGTGACCTCAACCAATGACCGTGCAAAGGGGACGGCCATGTCGCAAGGATCTCACCACCAGGAAACACCCCCCGTCGCACCACCACCTCCAGCGCCATGCATTCCTCCCATCAAAAATTTACTTCTTCTAAAGTACGACCCCATCAAGATATTGAGTCGACCTTCCCTATTGGGAAGTTTGGGAGGACATACTGCCACCAACCAAATCAAGGCTAACCATAACGTTGCGAATCAACGGATCGAGCCGGTGCCAATTTTTTCGTCGTTGGGGGCGGCGAATCCTGTCATTAAGAAAAAGTTTCCTCCTCCGACATGTACCATCACATCCGCGTCACAAGTTTCTGTAACCGACAAGGATTCGAGCTTGATGCCTCCGCCAAGAGCTCCATCAGCACCGAGGGCGAAGCAGGCACGTTCGATTAGTGTGGAAAGAGAACCACAACCATCCACTTCGAAAAAGTGTATGCAAGCATATTTGACAGCTTCAACATCATCCTCATCTTCGTCGTCATCCACATATGCAGCAGCAGCAGGAACGAACAATAATATCACTATCAACAACAGACGAAAACGTGGGTTTCCTTACATGTATTCTAAACTCGATTTGGTGACGAAAAAGAAAAGGAAAGTTGTCAAGTATGTAAACAAAAGAAGGAAAACGTGTTCCGCAAAGGCATTGAGACTCGCAACGATATCATTTGCGCAAAAGAGTTCGGCGTCGGCTGAAAGACTTAAAAATATGAAAATGAAGTTGAAGAAATATACAAGAAATTTAAGTACAAGGTATCAAAGCAAAAAAGGCAAACCGAAAATTAAGGTTAAAGTCAAAGGTCCAGGAAAAAAAGTGAAAGCGAAAGTGAAGAAAACTAGCGGACAACCAGAACAAAAAAGTCAACTGACCATTGCTCAACGGGAGCATATGGCCGCAATGACTCTTGCAAGAGGCTTCCGTGTTCCCGCGGACTTTTATGCAAAACTGCTACAAAAATTTAAGCAGGCTAACGATAAGCAAAAAGGACAGAAAGTTATAAAGAAATCGGTTGGTAAGAAGAAGAAGAAGGTTGCTGGACGAGGTGGTGATAAAAAGAAGAAGTTGCCATTGCCATTAAATATTAAATGGTTTAGGAGAAAGGGCTCTTCACGAGGGTAATGAAACGAAGTTACAGATATGTATTGAGTCTTTGAAAGTTGATTTTAATTATAATACTTGAGCATTTGTTTTGTCGCGCAGTAGGGGAGTCCCTTTCAAAATACCTGAAAATCATCTGGTCAACCACACTATCGAGTTGCTTCGCCACAAACGGGATTTGCAAACTCGAGTAGAGCTTATCGATGAGGAGTCGGTGGTTTACAAGATGGACGAGATACCTAAGATAAAGGAGCCGATTCCCAAAGGCCAGCTATTGATTCCAAACATTCCAATCACTGGGGGGCAAGCGAAGGAGATTATTCAAAATCGACTGCCGATTTTACTCGCTCATGGAGGATATACTCGTATGTATCGTTTTATGCTTTAATCGTACTAATTTGTTTGTATGTACTGTTTTATGAGTTATGGAATTGATTCTATTGTGCTTTATTCGTGTTTTTTTAGATGTAAATGAACGGCCACTTGAAGTCTTGGCCGATGTAATGGAAAATTTCTACATGAAAATGGCTCATAGATTAAAACAAGTTCGAGAAATGGAGATGGCTGGTTGTGAACAAGAGTTTCCTGTGAGTACTGAATTGTTGTGCTCTGTCAGGTTTTTAATTTTCTTTATACATTATCAATTTGTGATAAAGGATCCGCTGGAACGGGTTATGGTGGAAATGAATCTTGGTGGAGTTCGTGGAGTAGAAGAGTATTACACTTCTAGAGTTATGGACTACCGGAATCGCGTTGAAGAACAATGCGCCCATCTTCGAAAGCTATACGCACATAAGATAAGATTAAAGGTAGGAATGGTTATGTCTTCTTCAACGGGTATTTGTTCTTCGTCTAGTTCAACTTCCACGTCGTCACACCCTATCTCACCTGGAAACAGGTTTGTGTTTGTGTAATCGTTGCTGATTGCCTTTCTGCCGCATGAACAATTTTATTTACAGCTTTGCTTTGGATTCTTTGGGAAACACATTTCTATCAACTAACTAATTTATTTGTGGTTTCATTTTTATTTTTGTGTTGGTATTTGGTTTAAATGCTTTTGTTTAAATGTGTGTTTTCGTGTTTTCGTGACCATATTTCATATTTTTCGTAAGTATGAGTATTACTATTTTGAAAAGTGTGATAACGTATTTGTACAATATATGTACACAATGTGTTTCCAAACTTGGCATAATTACGCTTTGTTTGGTTTTCGCAGAAAAATTTCATTCATTCTGATTAATTCAAATTGTACTATAGTTATTTAGTACTGAATTGTTTGTCTTCAAAATATTTGTCTATATCTACCAAAGATTTGCGCATTCTAAATAGATTTATTAATCAAACGAAATATTTTGAGAATGAATGGAATTTTAACTGACCAATGTTAACTGTACTAACCCTTTGTGTAACTCTGAATAGTCATAGGAAATTGTTCTTTCACACAGTGCTTCTGATAGTAAGCTTGCGTAGTCAACATCTAAATCGGGTTTATCACGACTTATTATTGAGTTTGCATTTTAGTGCGATAATGGAAATTCTGTCTGGACTCGAGGGTCCGAAGGGTTCCTCATACCTTTTCGACCGGGTGCAGATTTCAAGACAGAAAAATCGAAACATGCCCCCGCCCCCATCGTCCAAGTTCCCATCCCACCTGCAACCCCAGGCCCAACTCTTAAAACGGTCCGCAGATCCAAAAATAGAAAACCACGTAACGAAGATAAATCAACAAATACTTCACCTCCCAAATTCAAAATCATTTTCATCAAGTCAGAACCAGGTACATCACCATCCACAAATGCATCAGCAAATACTTCACCTCCCAAAGTCACCAAGTCAAAACCAACTACATCATCATCCACAAATGCCACCTCCAAGTCACCATCCAAACACTCTTCAAACTCCAAACATAAATCTGCCAGTGGTTCCTCTGCAGGGACATCCAAACCTTCTTCCTCAACAACTTCATCATCCCACCGCCACCACAAAAGCAAATCTTCAAAAACAAATTCAGCATCAACCTCCACAGCAGCAGCAGCAGCAGCAACAACAACAACAGCAACAACAACTGCGACAACATCAAAAGGACACGCTTCAAAAAACGGTCCCACTCCTACCATCACAAATAACAACAACAATAACTGTACCACCAACAATAAGTCCAGCACCAGTGGTAACAAAAATAGGCCACCAGCCCAACCTCTCATCCCAAAAAATCAACTCCCAACCAGCTCCCTTCGCAAGTAGTATGGTCAGTATTAATTTAAACAACAATGTAGACCTCGTCCCTATGACTTCACCAAGTTCTTCGAGAACACCGACATTAAATGTAAACAAGAGCATACTTACTTGTGGCAGTGGCGACTCTAAAACAAAATTGAAAGAAGCTTTAAGTCAAAGAAATTTGTTGAGGTTAAATTTTGAACAAGTACCTTCCTCATGCGATTCTACGGTTCTACTCTCTTCATCTTCGCCATCCTTGTCCTCCAACAATAGTCCTTCGAGCAAAGCTAATAATACGACATCTTCATCTCTTAGTCAGTCTACTCGGTTAAAATTATAATCATTACCTTCCATAGTTTCAAAATTGTGTAGATACGCAATGGGTGTATGACCATAGATGAATTTTATTTTACAGTGACTAGCACGACGAACTATATTCAGTTGTTTGAGACAAGTTTTGCCATCCTGTCGTTTCTTAACTACCTCGTTCGTACTTTAAACTAGAATCAATATTTACACATAATTATATTGAATGAGGAATGTACGTAACAAGTTTTCTCCTTTGCCCTCAAAAATATTCACTTGATTATACAGGGTGGTTTAAATGTCACGCAACAATGGAAAATTTTCTAATGGGAAAAACCCCTAAATCTCCATTAGTTACAAGATTTTGGATCAAGATTTTTGTAATTATTATCAAAACTAATGGAACATTGATGACGAAATTTTAAAAATATTGAATTTTAGCGACAAAATTTCGGTAACTAATGGAAATTTACGAATTTTTCCCATCGAAAAAATTTTCCATTGTGGCGTGACATTTTAACCACCCTGTATATTGACTTGATGGATGACCAAATGACGCGATTGGTAAAGTTCATGACTAGTTGTACGAATCTGACCATGTTTTTATATTATTTAATTTAATCTCATACTTTGACTCATTATCGTCATTTTTATTAATTCTGATATAATTGTCACAAATATTGAAATGTGTTAGGAATATTTCGCACTGTGAGGAATCTACCTTTTGTATTACATATATCCAACCAAGGCGTTCTTCCTGTTTGACTGGCGAATCGAGACTAATTGTAAGACGCTTGAATTAATAATTATGACACCGTTATTATAATAAACTCGTTACAATGTTACATAAATGTATAACCCGCAGTCGAACCTCTTGTGTTTATTTTTAAAAATTACTTAAAACACACCGAATTTTGATTATATACAGTACGGTGAAATATAAAAAATTACTTAATTATATTATAGCTATCTAATTAAATTGATAAAACATTATTTGCAGATATACTACAATACATATATATCAGACTTTCGACATTATATAGTAATCAATCATGTTCATTTCTTTTTTTAGTTTTTTTGTATTTACTTTCCCTACATTAAGAAATAATATTTGCTTTGCTGCCGTACATTTTGATTGAATCAACTCATCAAGATTTACTAAAATGAACTAATTATTGACGCAATCAATTCAAGTTTGTGCATAAAAATGGCAATTCGATGAAGCCAAAGCAGAGATTTGTAGATTTACTTAAATTGGGTGATACTATGCTACATTACTTGCCGTTGTTGTTTAATTCATGTGTTGATTCAGTAATATTAATTAATATGCGATTGAATTATTAAGTTACAATTTATTATTATTGGTTATTTAGGAAAGAAGCAAAAATTATGTTGCTACACAAACAAACACGTAACATAACGTAATTACGCTACAAAAGCTGATGATTGTTGAAGTAATAAATACTATGGAATCTCAACACTACAAGTATTGAACTTTAATTTGGCACGATTTTCTTTTATGAAGAAGGAGCTATAATGAACCCGGCGTGGCATAGTCTAAATTGCAAAAATCTCCTTCACAGTCGCGTCTCTTTTCGTGTTCCAAATCACAGGAAAAGACATTTTCTTCTTTTCATGCTTTAAGTGTTACATAGTTCGCTGTTTGTGTCTGTTTGCATGTCTTGCATTTTGTTTTGTTACAAGAAAACTAAATTTAGTTCCCCATTTCTAAATATCCATCCTGACTTGACTCGAATTTATGTAGTGGCTCTTCTGGACAGAGATTCCTTTGATTATGCCATCTTTTCTCTTAATTGGCGTATTTACTACATGTTTCTAAATTCCTATAGAATGACTGAGCCTGTCATAATGCACTCTTCCATTAGGAAGAGAGGCCCATTTTTGTAGGGAGGATCATAAATATGAAAAAGTGCGACTCTTTAATTGCTTGTCAAGAAGATGCAAACCATGTTGACTCACTTCATTTTACTCAAATTTTTTTACAGAAATTTTGTACTCATCAAACTCCTACTTTTCCGCTTTCCACAATGGTCATATTTATTACTAAAAGAAATTAACGGCGGACATGGATGATTTATAGCGTATATGTACCTATTTAACTTTACCAATTTTTTAGAAACTTTGTACACATGTCACTTTTCAGGTGCATGCATAAATACGCATACTATTGCCTATCACTTCATATGTATGTATGTACATACTAATTCATAGAGTCTGCATTCACATTTCATGAACAAGCCTGCCTACGAACAAGCAAACTTTTGTATCTCGACACCACAGGCTATGAAACATATATATTTAGAAGCACTACAGTCTCACTCAGGCTGAGAGCTTGGCTCCGTAAAATTACATGTTGCCCAATTCTTATCTTCGAGAGAGTAAGAAGAAAACCATGATCCATTTAACCAAGATTCGGTTTAAACAACTTCACAACAGTTTCGTGTGTGCATTTTCAGTCGCTTTCTTAATGTCGGTTGAGAACAAACTCTCCTCGCAAAAGTACGAGAACATCATCGAGACGGACGGACGGAGATAGCGATATCGGTTGAGAGGTGGTGGAAAATAGATATAATTATTACGCTGGCTCTACGTACGTGTGTACTTCCCAAGAGAAAAAGTTGTCTCGCGAGTGAAGTTCCGTGGTCTCGAATTTATGCAATCTACTACTTTTTAGGAGTAAAGTTACACACATAAGTACATTGATACACGAACATCGCATCTCATCTATTGCTCCGCGTAATAAAAATCCTTGCCAAATCTCGATTTATACTGCATTTAGGGTGACAAATTTCTCATCGATCCCACGCTCAGAGGTGAATAAGTGCAATCTTACACTTATTATTGGGACCAGTTTCCGAGTTATTTTTTATTCTTCCGTCGAGTTACCCAAAAAAAGAGGAAATCTTAAAGGTAAGTCCATTTTGCATATTTAAAATCGTGCAGTATTTTAATAAAATTACATAATAAGAACCACTACAGCTTAGGATTAGTTTGCTAAATATTTATTTATGGGACTATATCAACCTATACAAAGATTTAGAGTCAAAGGGCACAACAAAAAACACACTTGTGATTCGTACTTTCCAGACATTTTAGACACGGGAGGATGAAAGTAAACCCATTTCTTATCTTCCCTGATGCGTAAAAATGTCTTATCGTTAGTCTCAAGACAAAAAGAAACCTTTATTTGTTCCATGTTTTAAACGAGGCTACAGTCAAGTCAAGTTGATCGGGGTCAGGTTCCATTTCTTTATTATTCCGAGCCCATGCTCACTCGCTAACACGGTCACACTCATTTTTTGCGTCTTTCTTTTCTCTTATTTTCCTCCTTCCACTTGGTTCGTACAAACAAGATCGTCTTCTCCAAAGCATTTAACACTTAGCACAAGAAGAATCGGAAGGAAGCCGAGGGAGCGAGATGGAGAGAGCGAATTTTGCATGAAACACGCTCCTCGAGTTAAAAGCCAGGTTTATTTGAGCAAATTGAACTTTAAGTGATCGGCCATTAAGTGAAAGGAGTAAAAATGGAAAGCAGGCGAGAGTGGAGAACAATTCCGTTGTGTGGTTACTACACGACTTACTTTTGTGGGATTGCATGCATTTTTTATTTGCTTTCATCTATCTAATCACTCGGAAGGGAAAAATAAGGCAGGAATGCGGCACACGGATCCTTCGTCTCCATGTTTATTGATGGTTTCCATCTATTTAGTTTCTACAGCTATTTTATATCCCGCCCCTCCTGAATTATAAATTAAGGAATCTACAAGAGATCAAAATTTCTAAATAAACTTGGACCAGAAATTGCATCTCGTACACATATGCACACACCACACAACCCTACACACACTTAAGAGAGAGAAAAAGATTTATAAATTGTTGAGACTGCTAAACCTCATAAAAATTCTGCTCACTTCTATAAAACTTTCACCATGAAGAGAGCAACCTCGAGTAAAGAGCAAGACGCAAAAAATGCGAGAGAGAGAAAGGTGAATGAATCGTTAGCCATTGGCTAAGTATCATTTCTTCGTGGAGAGATGGATGGGAAATCGGGACGGTGAAGTGTGTGTATGGGGATTAGCTTGGTATTTTGGCGTAGACGAGACGAGATCCTCCTGCCTGATACAAGAATGAGCAAGGGAATCATGTAATAACTTCTTCCAACGAGTTGTTTATTTTGCATTGCTTTCATACATTGACTTTCGATTGGAGGGTCCAGCCAGTCAGCGGCGGTGGAGGCAGTGTTTCGTTAGGAGATTCCGAACAAGTGCCATCAGAGCTGCCTGGGAGAGGAGTTTGCGTGCCTAGCTACCAGCGGAGAGAAGAGATCTCATCAAATCAAATCGAGGTCTAGGTCTGAATTCTTAATGTCAAATAAGCTTCTCGCAGAGTGGAGAAAGGCTTCTTTAATCTTCTTCTGCTTTTATATACTTCTTCATGTTGCGAATCCTCCAAGAAGATCGGTCAGAAAAACAAACAATTCCCGAATTTGTAAATATATCGTTGGCCATCAGTCTTCCACATTCCGACGTTTGTTTATCATATTAACGGAAAGTAATCAAAACATTTCGGTGAAGGAGGAGACGCAAGTTCATTTGAGAGGGTGAGCTCGAATGATCGGGGGTACTTAATTTTGTGGGGGTATTAGCAATGCATTCGGTTTCTTACCTTTGTCACTTACCGTTATCAATTTTATGATCATAAACTTTCATGGATGTGATAATATACCATTAAACGATATTCTATATATTTCTATATATATTACTGACTTGCCTCCTACTCTTACATATTATTTCTCCGCAATAAGCTCGAGGAATAATTGGCGACGAGCAATGTTTTGTTTGCCGACGCATCTCAAGCAGAAGCCCCGTTAGAACAAATCGTGGGAATCAAAGAGGGAGGAGCAATGAAATTACAAAAAGGCGTCACGGTTGAGATTTCTTGTTCACAGAGCCAAAATCAGATGTAAATTCATCCTTTATGGACATTTGCATCTCCATATCATATCAAAACTTTACTACGCATACTTCCGATATTTTCTACTCTATGAATGAATCCTAAATTTACTTATAAAGTAGTTTTAAATATTTAAAGTTTTCAAAATAATAGCAGTTGCTACTTTTCTCGTGGTGGTGAAAGCACTTTCACCAATGAACATAAGTAACACCGCAGTTTTCAATCGTCCTGTGACGTCCACGAAACCAATAGTTTAGCACAGGACTTGTAATTGATTTCTTTCATTTAGCCAAATATCATGAACCCGTATAAACTTTAAAATCAGAGGAAATTACATGGGAAAATAGTTTTGGGTTTCAGTTTGATTTTTACTTGCGGTTGCCTTATGCATACGGAATGTGTGTGTGTGCGATGTTTATATTAGGCACGAGAAATCGCACATTGAAAGGAAATGTGAAAATTATGCAAATGATGTGCCAACATTATCCACTTTCCAACTTCTCTTACTCCTGCCGCATCCTCTTCTATCATATCCGCTGCTCCTACTCGAAGAAGGTGTTACGCAGACTTCTCTGTAGTTACTTATTTATTGTTGATTTTAGAACCTGAGTGGAAAAGTGGATATATAATGCAACTTTTAAAAGATATTACTTCTCGCATTACGATCAAATGAGGAAAACTCGGATCATTTTGCAATTTTTTTGTCATATAAATTACCCGAATTTACATTTATCAACGCAATTTTAATTTTTAAGCACGTCCCTAGTTCCGCTTCCTTTTGTGCATTACGACACATTACGGGATCCCACCCAGTCGAAAGTAGGAATTGGCTGCCCCTGAAAAAAATATAAGCTGGAGGATATGCAACTTGTAGGAGGAGAGGATGCTGTGAATAATATAACGATAGCATTTGTCACATTTATTGCTTCGAAAACCTTACAAAACTTTTTCCATCCAAGTCAACAAGAATATTATCAACTTTTGTAAGAAACATTGAAATGGCAAATTGAATTTTTTCCTTGTAAACCAGCAGGAAAGATAAAGTTGGCTTAGCAAGTGTCAAAATATTCATGAGGAGGTCATAGCGTCGTCAGATACACTCGCATCCTATTTACAAGCACAGATATGCACATTTTCTCGCGTGAAAGTGTATCCATCTCGAATTTTTGTTTTGAACATTTGTCACAATTTCAGCGTTGACTTTTTTTCCAGGTTTCAACTGATAATCATTTCAACGCAATCATACTTATCGTGATGGCAATTTAGTCGTCGTATTTAGATTAACGACCAGCTGCATTGTGCATGGGGAAGAGGAAACGTTGTAAGTAAGTAGGAAGTGAATTAAATATTAAGTTATGTTCTTCTCCAACACGGAAGCGATAACCTGCGTTAGTTAAATAGTGATGATGTTAATGGGGCATTGCAGCTGTAGGTGGGCAATACATCTTTTTACAGGGGAATAAATTATTTCTCTCCAAATCATTGAATCGCTGGCTCTCTCGGAGTTTGCAACGCTACAATTCCCATTTTACAGTTTTAATTGAGCGACGTAAAAAATTCAGAACGCTTCTCCGGCGATGATGAAAAGAAGGCACTAATGCGCCCATTACTCTTCCTGCGTTTCTGCTAATTTCAGATCCACCTACGCATTTCCATCCACCAACCGCAACCACAACCTTCGCACCTTCTTAAATCAGCATGGGACTTGAAATAATGAGTTATGGCTCAGGAGTGGTTTCCTGTTTGAGTTTTAATAGATATCTGTGATACCGCGGAGAGGGAAGCCATCTTATTTACTTATACATACGCAGTTCCTCATTTATTTGTTTATGGGGCTCTCTACGTCCATGAAATGTCGTCCCGAACATGAACGTCTAATGAGTGGAAAAGCCAAGCCAAGATTAATTAATAAGACGGCTGATGTGCTAAGAAAGAATGTTTTTATGACAAGTGTTAGACTCGGTGGCAAGTCATAAATCATGGAATAAACTTTGCGGAGTGAGCATATCATTGGAAAACATTGCTAGAAATTCTAGGATGTACGACGTCATCCCGATATTAGGTTTCATTAGACAACGAGGAAACAAACATGCCTCTGATTTTTGTCATTACCGTTCCATTATATAATTTATGTAGAAGTAGAAGCGAAAAGGCGGACAACTTTGCACTGGTTTGTTGTACAAATCCATCCATAAATATTGAGACGATGATGAGATCATCCTTTTGTGAAAACAAGACCGTTATCATCCTGATATCCTCAAATGTGTTCCATCCAGAAACGTCTCGGAGGTAATGACGATGACACAATGGCACACTTTTAAGTTTTCAGATGGAACAGGAAACGTGACATGAATGAATGACAGCTTGCAAGAGAGCTTTCACGAAGTACAAGATCCGATGACAAAGAGAGAAATTCTGAAATTAATATGGCCTGAGTCACGGTCGGTGCATGAAATGGAAGGACGAACCAAGTCGAACAATGCATTAGGCAAGTCGCTCTTTGCATATCGACCGACCGGGTATTATTGCAAACTCTATTTTTATGTACAATTCTCAAATTGCAATATTTGCTCATTTATTGGCTCATGATTTATTTTCTTCTGTGAATAACGTGTGTTCATGTAGCGATACTAACGAAGGGTGGGTCCGCCTCTCGAAATATGGACACTTTTTATGTGGACATTACACTTTTGTATTTTAATTTTACTACTTTTACAAGTCCTTTGTCCACAATAAAACGTGTATTAAACGTAAAGAGAGGGTTCTCAAGGGTTGCTTTCCGCTCCTCTGCTTGTGGATTTTCTGCATGAAGTTTAATGCCAAAATTTTGGACTGGTAAGTAACACGGACGTGTGAACTTGACGCTATGGGTCACACATATTTATATTTCTTATTGCCTGCAGTTGTAGTAGTACGACTTGGAAATGTTGTGATAAGCAGTCAACCTCGAAGGTTGACGCCACACCATGCGACAGCTAAAAGCATCTGTCCATGCGTCCCACTGATTTTCTCTCTCGTTATTCTCCATTAGCTGTGTCAAATTGAATCTCCGAGACTGCATTTTTCTAAGACGGACAGAAATGAAATGATGGCTTTTCTCTCTCTCTCGTTTTAAAATCTTCTTGAGGCGAGGAGGTCTTCAAGGAAGGCTGAAAAGGAGGCGCTTTAATAGAGAAATACGCTAATAAAGCACACAATTAGTTGGTAAAGATCATCTTTTGACAACGACAGCCCATTTTTTCCTCAATTTACCCACCTCGATCTAAATAATTACCTGACACAAGGCATTTACAATCATTCACCATCTCCCAAGAAGATATTAAACTTGATTTAATCCATCAAAACCAATTTCAATTTACCCTTAAAATCGTGATAAGATGAACACCATATCAATCTTTCGCAAGGATAACTTAATTTAACCTTCAAATTTATAATGTTAGCGTTGGGGAAATGTGACACTTTTTGTGGAGAAATCTTGCTTGTCACTCATTGTCAGTCGTAAATCTGAATGGATGATTTGTATTTTTATAGCTGTAATAATCCCACGACAGTCGCCTTGTTGATTGATGGAGATTATAGCTTTCCGTGGTTGGTGGGCATCATTCCAGATTCATGAGACTATTTCACCCAAGCTGGTGAATGCATATCTGTGTACCTACCAACACCATAAGGCCTGGTGGATATATGTTCATATCTCCTCTGGCTGAGGACACCCAGTTCCATACGTAATAACAGTAAAATAAATATTGACTCGTGCACACAATGAGATTTAATTTTAATTTTGATTACTTTTGATATTCTGACTGACTGACTGGGGTACGTAGCATGGAACTTTTATTATGCATCTCTTATTGACGACCCGTACTCCATTTCCACAACCACAAGTGCACGTTTATAGGCCGGGACAAATGTAATAGTGCAATTCTGCTGGTTCGAATTGACATTTCTTATTTTATGAAGCTATAAAACTCTACTCTGCCTTTTCCTAAAGCAAAGATGTACAATTGCGTGGAAAAAACGACCATGTTAAATTATAACGTGAACATTGTCGTACAAAAACATGGCATGAATTCCCTCCTCACGTGAGAATACATACATTCCTCTCCGTCCCTGTATTATTCAGACGGGAGAAGAGAGTTGATGTAATAACACATATGAATAATTTTCCCTACGCAAAAGTCAAGTACAAGTCTCATCAACCCGTCACTCTTATCGGGTTAGGGACAGAGGTCCGGAAAATTACTTTTTTTCTGAGGAGTGAAAACCGGAAAATAAGGCAGAACAGCAGATGGAGAGAGGGGACAGTTGTTGGAGACTATTTCATCACGCCATGAAATATTCATATTCGCCTTGGACATGATCCATCTTCATTTTGCTCGTCATAATTTGCATACATTTCCACCCATCTGATGCAGCATTGTGAAAATTTGTTGGCTCAAAATACTCACCTTACGAAAGACAAAGATAAAAGTGCACTATAAAAAACACGTTTACAAAATTACAAAAAAAAGTGCTGCCTGGATGGAATCCATCTCAGGATTGATTATTATTCTGGTCCAGAGAGATTTTTGCCAGTGTTTTTTCCTGTTTTTGTTGTTCTTGTTATGATTAATTTACTTGAATGGAAGTGTCTGAAGGGAATCTCCTTAGGATGAAAATGTGTAGTCCTCCACCTCCGTGATAATTGGGTACGATTGAACGTGATAACTCTGTTTTTCTTGGCAATGAATAATTAATTAATTTCAATCAAAACATTAATATACTAACGACACAAGGATGTTTCTTCTGGGTAAGGTTTGTACTTTCACTTTATCTCAGACAGCGAAAAAATATTTATTACGGCATAAATCACAACAGACCCCATCCCACGTCGTATGCAAATCCATTAAGATGAACGTCTTCTTCTTCTTTTTTTCCCCTCTTGCTGATATTTATCCTCTTTTCGGAATGGATTTGATGGATTCAATCTTGATGTAGGAAAGAGATTTGTTTTATTCTAACTTCTCCGAGATTTTCGAGATATTTATACCTTCATCTATACCATGTTCCAGCATATACAAATATTTCCTCCATTTTCAGAGACATTGAAAGTGAGTGCACTTTGACGTAGGAGAGGAGATCATCATGAGTGGTGTGATTTCTGACAAAGCAAATCCTAATCCTATATTTTTCCCTTAGTCGTCTGCTGATTTATACCAAATTTGTCCTAGGCTGGTTCGCGTCGCGTCTGATGTGAGAATCTTATACGACAAGATTTTCACCCTTTCGTACTTTTAATTCGTTTCTGCTCTGTTTTGGTATTCTAATTTGGATGCATTCTTACTCAACCTTTTTTGCTTATATAATGAAGTCTATTCTTGACAAAATGTCAAGAGAGTAGGCGGGGGAGCAGCAGGCGGCCTTATCCGTGTAGTAATCTGACCTTGGATTCACTTATCTACAAAGAGAAGAACGTCATCAATGTACAAATAACTTTTCCTTTCTTTAGCATGCAGCGAATTTGAGGATTCTCTTCTCTGCCTAGTTAAAATTGTTGGTCGGAGGAAGAAAAGAGTTCAAGATCAGAGCGCAGTCTTGGTTGCCATTTCTTCATACGTTACAACGTCGGAGTGACAGATGACATATTCAAAACAAGAAACACGTCTTATTCTCGTATTCCACACAGGCCAAGAAGAAGATCGCGAGCAAGATGACATCCTCGCCGTTCTGCATGTGCACCATTACCAAACATTTTTTTTCCGACGGTCGGCCAGATGTTGGTTAAATGAACAAAGTTTCTTGCTTTGTTCTTATATTTCCAATACTTTATATAACGTTTTCCCCTTCTCATTAGCGAATTCCTTGGATAATAATCCAGTATTGGTTCCAAACGGTGTAAGATTACGGTTTTCGACGGATTGGGATTTACCAGAGTGAAGTTTATTGTAAATAATCAATAATAAATATTTATTTCGAAAAAAAGTTTTAGGCTAAAAGTAGGCCACGCTCTCCTAACGAAAACGAAAGAATGAATACGCTCTGAAATCATATACATAAAACCGTCAGCAAGTAGCAGTTATAATTAAACTGATAATTACAAAGTAATCATTAAGTCAGATTATTTAGTACAGCGAGGAAAGCAGGTGGTTCAAACCGTCGTTTCGGTCAATTGAGTATGTGCAGAAAAAAGACGCGGACCTTGATCCCGATGTCATGGGGATATTCGCAGCGGTTCTTGTTCGACGGGTGATAACCCACAAACATGAAAGCGATGGTTCGACTGAGCATTGTAATGCTGAGCGAGATGAGAAAGACCTACTTGGCTGTCGGGCAAGGTCACTTGTCGTCGTGTTGTAATAATGTCTTCGCATAATGTACAAACATCCGAGTGGGAAAAAAAGTTGGAGAGAAGAATGCAGTCGTGGGATTCAAAATCATCTTTCGTTCCGTTTCATCAACTCTCAGTTGGTTCTTGTCTATACAAGTTCCAAATCGGATCTTGAAATTACGTCCTGTTGGCGAGGCTAGACATCCATTTCTGATTCCCCACGCTCGGAACGAGATTTTGGCCGGCGTTGATACGCACTTCCCAGCAAACGTTCTGCAATCCATCAGACTTTGTTTCACTCTCAGGGCATCCCTACGAAGAAGGTTGGTTTACATGCTATCGGAGGAACTAGGTTTACATACTCCTAACACGGCCGGTGTGAAGATTTACAATGTATTGCCACCACCACCACCTGCACTGCAGACAGGCTCATTAATGTCAGTTTTACGGTCAACAACGCTCTGTTAGATCTGGGTAAATATTTAAGGTTGTAAAAGGCTTGGGTTTACTGGGGATGAATAAAGTGGAAGTGGAACATCAATCCTGCTCCTGCCTATATACACACTCTGCTTCTTCTTATTATACTAAATATAGGAGAGATGTGTACATACGTATCCTCCGTGATATCTGTGCTCTAGATTTTAATTTGTTCAAACTATATCAAATGATTGCATAAAATCCATGATTTATTCCGTTTGACCCAAATCACGATGGTAGTTTCCAATCTAGTACAAACTTTCTCTTCAACTTGATCACGTTATTCAATACTGATTTTATTTGGGTGGAATCGAGATGATGTGATGGTGAGTAGGAGAGCAAGATTTGTGCACATATTTAATGTTATCCCACTTGATTTTAGGGTACTGACCATTTTATTAACTTAATCAGTATACCATAGCAAAATTAATAATTATTATTTAATGATCTAATTAAATTGATTTTGAGATAGTTGATATTGATTGAAACTTAGGAAGCGTCGCAGGAGGCAGGAACGAGTCAAGTGGAGCGAGATGAGTTCAAGTGGGATTCGTGGGATTCGTCGTAAAAAGTCCTCCTTGGGCGAGGTGAAAGTTGCCGTCGTGGGTGCGCCTGGAGTGGGAAAGAGTGGTGAGTTTAGCTACTTTGCAAAAATTTACGTGCCATTTTGCATAAAAAGGTCCCTTTATTTTATGCTTAGCCCTAATCGTTCGATTTCTAACGAGGAGATACATTGGCGAATATGATCATCAAAATGGTAAGAATTACAAAAAAATCAAACTATCTCAATAAAAAATTGACTTTCATAATTTCCAGAAAATCGTTACAAACACGAAATGATGGTGGATTCAGAACCCGTCCTTTACGAAATTCTAGATTCTTGTCCAAAGGTAAATAAACAACTATTTTTATTACAACATCCAATTAGAAATATATCTTTGAGCACCATTTTTCACTGTATCAACTATTAATGTGAATTATTGTACTAAATGTATGGGTCTGAGAATAGCAAGGCCATTGCTCCAGACAAACAGAGAGACAGAGAGTGCTTGTTCATGGAAAATTCACTGTTTACAAACCATTATCACCCGACTGCCTACTACTTCAGCCTGGTTTTTATGCTGGCACGTTTCTTTCTCTAAATATTGAAATTCATCATCCTGCCATTGGAATATAATGTGCTGTCACATCCCATCACACTTTCTCCCCATTCCGCATTCCTTTCCACGACTTGTTAGTTGACGAGGAGATGATTTGCGGATGATGCCACCCGATCAATCGCACCCCATCAATCGCACCCCGGCTAACGCACCCCACCATTGCCACCCCTAGGATGATGCCACCCCCGATCATTCGCACCCGAGCAATCGCACCCCTGTAGATGCCACCCCTTATCAATCGCACCCCTAGGAGTATCCCACCCCCGATTTTGTGAGATTTTGACAAATTTTCGGGCACAAATAAATGAGTGTAAATATGCGATATGTTGCTGAATTTATTGGGGTTATAAAACAATGCTAGGATTATCTCATGAGTGAGATTTTGAGTTACCGTCATCGTTTTTAAATAATGGACACAATCCTAAGAATTCATGAAGGATTTACACATTAATCCTATTACTAGTAAAAATAAAGCTGAACTGATTAATTTGTAGACCTAATTGTTTATATTTTGACGATATTTGAATTTTTACTGAGATTTATTTTCGTTGATATTGACTTACGTGTTTCAATTTTTACGGAGATTTAATTTTTTATAGATTTTTTGTCGAAATATGAATTTAATTTATCAAGCCTGATGATAATTGAATAAATTACACGCCTTTGGGAAGCATTAAGAAAGTAATATGTACATACATACGTACACGTTTGCTTTATTTTTACTAGTATATAGCAGGATTAATGTATAAATCCTTTATTAGAATTGTGTCAATTATTTAAAAACGATGACGCCCTACCAGCACAACCTGTCCGGTTCCGGTACATGCCAGCGCCGATTTTGTGCCCCATTTCTCGGTACCAATTGTATACCGATTTCGTGCTGGTACAAGGAAATCGGTATCTTACTGGCACAGTTTTGGTACAGGTGGAACCGTACATATAGTTCCGATACCATTTTTGTATAGTGTTGCAGGTACAGTCCCGGTACCCAAAATTTGTTCCTAAACTGTGCTGGTAATCTCACTCATGAGATAATCCTAGCATTGTTTTATAACCCCAATAAATTCAGCAACATATCGCATATTTACACTCATTTATTTGTGCCCGAAAATTTGTCAAAATCTCACAAAATCGGGGGTGGGATACTCCTAGGGGTGCGATTGATAAGGGGTGGCATCTACAGGGGTGCGATTGCTCGGGTGCGAATGATCGGGGGTGGCATCATCCTAGGGGTGGCAATGGTGGGGTGCGTTAGCCGGGGTGCGATTGATGGGGTGCGATTGATCGGGTGGCATCATCCGCACACCCGAGGAGATGATTCCTCTCCGTAGACAAATATGTAACGAGCCAGAGCATCATGAATACGTAGTGTGCACTTATCTACCTATATGTACACGCCAAGACGTAAGCAATCAGTTCCTACCTACGTAAGAAAGTGTGTAATGGCGTTTTTGAGTCGTTGATGGACAAAAATTGTACATATTTTATTTGATGTGATATTATTGAAGGCATGGGCACAGAGCTGTGTCACCATCGTATTTGATCTCATCGTTACTTTTTCTTTCTCCACAAGAATTTATTCCTCGTAACCACAAAATAAATACGTTGTTGTCGCAGACGTGACCGAGGAGGCTGTTGGCTAATGGAAAGTATCACTTCGCAACTTTCTCCCCGACATGGAGTGTGTATCCGTCAGTCAATAAAGCTCGGCGAGCGTCACCTCACCAAGCCAACACGGAGACTTGCATCATTTCTCTCTTATCATGAAAATGGTATCGTTGATTTTTTCCACTGGTGGAATAAAGGTGTGTCAGAATCAAAATTCATCTGGAATCGGTGGGGATCGTTTAGATTGCTTGTTTGTGTGTATGACACTTAAGGATTATTTTTGAAGAAAAATCCTCGCACTGCCAGGCACAGTTTTTTTTGAAAGCCATTTTTTCCATCAATAGTATAAACTCGTACCTGTGGAGATAAGTGTGCAGGGACCCATTGGAGAAGTAGGTATAGAGCAAATAAGGACAAAATTACGTTATCCTCCACCACCCATGGTCAACTTTCATAAATAATGGTCTGGTTTCCCCCAATGGTGCACATTACATATGTATCGAGTAGGGATTTAGTTGTTCCTGGTTCACCTCGGGTGAAGTAGCCAGCCTCCCACGGCGTGGTAAGTGCAGTTGGTTGTTGTTGTGAAGCAATGTGGAAGTGGTTATGGAAGTAAAAGGTTAAGAAAATCTTGTTGTCCTCTCCAAAGAGAGATCCGGAATGATTGATGACTTGGCAACTTAAGCTCATTTCGTTTGTTTTGGTTGAGTTGTCAATTTCCTATGATTTTCTGGAATTCTCCTGAAATCAATCTGCGTCTCTTTATATCCATCAATCCATCCACCACTTTCTTCCTCACTTGCTAATAATATTTCGCCTCTTGTGTCAGGAAAAGCTTGTTTTCTCAGCACGGCACACCCGCTCTATAATTCATTCTCGACACTTGTAATTGTATTTTGTCCATATTTCTCGCAAACTTTCTCCGTCTGGAGGAGGAGGAGGCGAACGATGATGTGCTTTCCCTTCTTCTTCTTCTTCTCGGATGGGAGTTGGTTCAACAACACTTTTTAAAAAGTATGTAAGCCATTGATTGTGCGAGAGTGCCAGAAGAAGAAGAGTTGGCGGAGAGAGACTCAGGAGGAGTTGGTTTCGTCTTCTTTTCCTATTAGTTTCCACTGATTCCCAAATAAAGTGCTTATAATTGAATTGTATTGTGAAGAGAAAACAATTCATTTCCGACAGCCCAGTTTTGATAAGTTCATTATGGTGAAATTGTATTTTTGGAGTGTGACTCCAGCACCGTTTCCATTTCCTTTATTTGTCTTAAACGTCTTAAACAACTGCTCGGGCGTAATTGCCATTTTCTGAGCTATGTAAGAGCATCACCATCACTTGCCTTGGGAAAGACGGACTTTTAATCTCATTACTTCAAAAACAATAACAACTATTTCGTTAAAAAGTAGGAACAATTTTCCCAACAAATTCATTTTGGAAATGATAGACGAATGATAAGATTTACCGTAAAATCAAGGCGGAGCAGATGCACATAAGACGCTTTCAAAAAATATGTCCTCGCCCGTAGTTGAAAGTTAATGAGTGAGTGATGGATATGACAGCGACCGTGTAGTCCCGAATCGGGGGGAGATAATAGCCCCTCCACTTTCTCCGCAGTTCTCACTACAGGAGATCGGCCTTGGTGAAAGTGAAACCTTAAGCACAGATTCTGCCAAAGAAATTGGAAACACGAGAAGAAGAAAACTCTAAACTGATGGCATTTCCGGAGAAAGTATGACTTTCTTATTAGCCTCGCCTAGGCGGTTCATAAACATCGTAAAAAATGATATTTTTGGCAATATTAAAAAAATATTTTGCAACTTTTTTCCCTTGTCGAAAGATCACTGCCTCGTGTTCCATGAATGCCTCTCCTAATTGGGAAAATAGAGACTTTGTTAGCGTCTTTAAATTTGGTCCAATTCCTTCTCGTAAAAGTGGTGGATGGAATCTGAGAAGTGGGATAAAGAGGGATGTCATCCTCAGAGCTGCGTCCTCTTCAGTAAATTAGTACTTTTCTGAGGGAAGAGGCAGACGGTGAAATGACAGTGTGGATGGCACCCAGAGAATTACCGTTTCAGAAAGTTTTTCCCTGTATTATTGACACAACAGAGTATGAGAGCATTGAAGAGTTGGGAACAAAGTTGGTCGTCGTCGGTTGAAGTTTAATACTTACTTATCCAGGCATTTTATCATTTACAGACGGGGAACGAGCTCGTGTCGGCGGAGACGGTGCAATGGGCGGACGGATTTTTACTCGTCTACTCCATAACTGATCGACAGAGTTTCAATTACATCAAACGCGTGAAACAACAGTTGACAGAGACTCGGAGCAGCAACACCCTCACCGTCGCCAGCCCGCACGGTCTCTCCGCCAGTGGGAGTGCCGGAAACCTGCACTCGGGCGGCGGTGGGGGCTCCAACAATAATGGAGGCTTCAGCTTCAGCAGGGACAACTCGTCCTCCTCCTCCTCCCCCAGCACGTCCATCGTCCTCGTGGCCAATAAGGCGGATCTGGTCCATTTGCGACAAGTCAGCCAGGAAGAAGGTGAGACGAATTGACATGTGGGTTCATGATGACCTGCATTTTTTGCTACCAGGAGTAAAAATAGAGCACGAAAAACTGCAACCAAGTTTTAATAATATCTTGTCCATTATCATTACAAGTAATGTTTGCCCATCGAAATTTGTCATGGAAAAATATGTTGTCAAAGAGCACATGGCACGCGGAAGAAGCGTGGTATAATGCCTACCAGACACTATTATGCACCTCATGCGAATATATGACGAGATGTGCATGCCACATTAGTATCAAATCCTTATTTCTCACGTATATGTTCGCCACCTTCTGCCACCACGAATTTCGCCTGCCTGCCTACGTACCTACGTACATATACTGAAAGACAACTATTGCCTAATTCTAGGAAGATATTTTTGATTGCGAACCTTCGAAAGCAAAGTTTCCACAAGTTTGAATATTGACTAACTAAAGTACTTTCACATTTCCTTCGAAACGTGAAAGTTTTCGACGCTTTTCCCACACTTTGTTTCTCTCTGCGTGTGTTATGTGTGATCTCGGAAAAGTTTGGAGAGTGCGAAGAAGGAGTGGTCGTATCATAAGATTTCCTTTTTACGATGTAAGAGAAAGCATAGATACCAAGTGAATATGGTAGATATATGGTGAATTAGTGGATGATACTTTTGGCATGATGGTGATGGTGGTGGGAAATCTATGAAAATAATCTTTACCCTTCGACAGAACAGATTTTTCTCGGAAATCTCAACTCCCTACTCGTGTCTTGTACGTATCTCTCACATGCTCATACCTACCTGACGACGCAGGAAGTTTGTGTGCACATATTTTAATTTTTACAACCGTGTAAACTAATCAAACCCCAATTCTGAATAGATCCAGTGCGAGTGCTACATATAATCTGACACTCAGCGTTTGTAAATATGTTGACGATGATTGTAGGAAATTGGGTGTCACACTCCTTTACTTTTTCCCCCTGCCAGCCAGCCAACCAAAGATGGTCATTATATTGCTGACTCAAATCTTGCACAACTTTGCACTTTTCTTTCCGCACAAAGTTTCCAATTTTTACACCTCTGACCCAAAACTTTCTTTTGCCTGGGTTGGTCACGGATTTCCTTCTTCTTCTTATCCGGTGGTTGTAAATCTTACTCGACAGATTTGCAACCATTGCATTGCGTTTACTCCTCTATTTATCAGAATTTGTCACATTCCTTGTTAACAGATTTCTCCCGTTCACGTGTGAATACTACTTATGCATTTACCACCACGACCGCTTTTTACACTACTTGTTGTACAATAAATATTCCATTATTTCTCTTTATTGGTTACTTTCAGGAGAAACCCTTGCCAAGGATTTGGACTGTTCGTTCGCTGAAGTCGCAGCGTCTGAGCAGGTCACTCAAGTTGCAGAAGTGTTTCATGAGGTAACCAACCGTTCGTGTTTCTCTCTCTCTATTTTTTCTAAAAAGTTATGTAACAAAAGGAGAAAAACAATTTCAAAGATTTGGATCTAGCGTCAAATTTTGCGATACACACACCTGTTCAGCCAGAAATGCTTGTTTATGTGCTTTTGAGGAGACGAGAAGAAACGACGACATAAAATGTTCTTGCTCTTGTCACTTGTTTGATTTTATATTTGACGGATTCGATCGGGGTCATGTTTCCTGCAAAATCTGAACTTACTTATGAAATTACCTTGTTCATATGTGAGTACGTTACGAGGAAAACAGATTGGAAACCTGATGTGTCAAAGTCACATTTCTGAATCTCATTATCGTCAAAGGGAGAAAAGTCGTTTTATTTCTCGATGAATTTTTATAAGTAATTTCCAATCTTCTTCTTTCCAAGAGGCTGGGCGAGAGAGAGAACAGAAACGTGTGTGTGACTACAGCGATGGCTGTCAGATGTTTGAATTATTTCCCTTATAACATGGTCTCAAGCTCTTGATGTTCGCTCTGTTCTTCTCCACGTTCCACTTGATTTTCAAAGTAATAGCAAATGTCAAACTACTAAAATCTTAGTTTGAGACGTGAATGTGATTAAAGGAATTGGCTTTGATTGAGTGACAGCTTAAGTGAAGAACTACATGGGAAGCAGGACGACGTGCCGGTATAAGTAAATCTTTGAAGCCCTTGTACAGTAGCCGGTGGTGGTGGTGCCTGGTCAAAGAGAGGCCTTGATTTTTCAAGCTTCTTCCCTCGGAGGGCTTAAATTCGATAAAATGAGTTTATATATATTGAGTTTATCGGAAGGTTCATTTGCTTTCCACCATTTCTTGACAAGGTAATTTACAGGGGGTGAATTAATGAGAATTGAAGTTTGACTTGTTGCTTGCCCAGGTTTGCAGAGAGGTTCAGACAGCCCGTAGGAAGACCAAGCAGTCCTTGCTGGACCGAGTGCTGGGCAACAAGGCTGCTGCAGGATTGAGAGTATATGCTCGAGGGAAAAGTGACAGCGCCCTTCCGAAAGAAAGCAATTAAAACAAAAGTTAAATAAATCAAGGTGAAGCTAATGCATAGAAGCGATGCTTCGGACATATTTTATAAAATAAGAACGTGGTGGTTTAATACGTAACTCGAACCATCATCAGTTGCGGAGGGGTTTCTCAACTCTGCTAGTTTATGTTAGATGCATAATTCGAGGATGCGATTTATCATAATTTGGATGATTTCCCTAGTTTTGTTTCGTCATTTCGATTAATTTATTGCACATCAACGTACGTTTGGGATCTCCATACTCGTAGCATATTAAAAGTGTCATCAAAACGTTTGGAGTCTCTCGCTTACCGCAACTTTTCGGTTGTCGTCATGCTTTTTGTGCGGATCACTTTCGAAATGAAATTTTATACGTCTTCAATAAAAAGAAGATATTGAAATGTGAGATCTTAACAAGAATATGAGAATTTCGTCTGGATTCTACCCCCTTCTTGTGCTTGCTGTAAAGGAATACATTTTGAAATTCGAACTTGCACACATGTATAAATAACCACTTAAAGTACAGAATAATTTGAAATTCCAACTTTGTGTAATGGTAATACTATTTTTCTAAATAAAGATCAAGTACCTGTTGTTGTTGATTTGAAATAAAATATTTCCCAAGACGTTATTATTGTTATACGTATCGGATTTCCGGATAAGAATCATTGGTATTTATTTTCCATGCAAGGAAAACTCTTGCACAACGACGAAAGTGAACTTTTGTCTTGAAATATGCACTTTTCTCTGTGTATTTATGAGATAAAGATTCACAATAATGCAAAAACTAAAAGTTACCGTCCCTTCATCGTAGAATCTTCCTTAGTTAGTGTTACGGTAATTATTCATTCTTAAAATTTCGCCCGATTGTGTCAATCACATTCCATTCTCAGATAACCCTTCCAGCAAAAACCGTAGGATAAACATAGAATATGAAGAATTAAGTCTCAATATTGGCAAGATTATCACATGTGATATCGTGTAAGAGCACGAGGTTAATAATACCAAAGAAAATATTTTGCACGTTTATCGAATATTTACATTTCCGTTAAAATGTTTACCAGGTGTGCCTCCTTGGAAGTGACAGAGGTAAATATATTTCCGTAATTTATACCTTTTCAGCCACATCTGCCCTTGAATAACACGGCGCCCGATGAATAAACGTACATTTAACGAGACCTGAGAAAATAAACAAATAGGCAAAAGTATTCATCAGAACATCACCGGTGGTGAGGAACGTGAAAGCGATGTGCGGTTTTCGAGCACATATTTTTCTACACCTTTGCCAATTTTAGAAGGCGATAAATCAGTCATCCAACATGCATGTGGAAGTGTTTAGGAAAATCTGTACAGCACTCACCGCTCTGAAATGTACCACGAATTTGCCCGGAAATGGATCCTACGTCAAATCGCAGACAGGGCAAGGCACCAGCATATGTACCACACGAGAAGCACTCGTGTGGTGGAAGACCTTGGTCCCCAGTGCATTGCTATAAAGATGGCCAAGTCGTCAACGTAAGCAGTAATGTAAACCGCTTTCAGGGAGGAACGAGACGAAATTGAACAAAGGCTTGTTTGTAGACTTAGGTAGGTGAACATATAGGGGCAAGAAATGAAGCAAGCCGAGATTACAGTTAAGGAATGCTTTTCGCCCAAATTTGCTGTTTATTTGGTAAAATCTTCTTATTCTTTCGTTTGTTTACAGTTCTCTCAGAGAATTCTGGGCAATTTATTTGTAATCGTAGCTCTCCTCTTCCTCCTCCTCCCTCTTTGTCGACGTTATTATTATTATGTTGTTGTCCTATTGTTCTCCGTTCCTAACTCTCTACTCCGTCGTCCTTCGGTTGGTCGGTTATTCAAGAAGATGAAAGATGGAATTGAAACTTGTTCCCTAAAATGGCTTCACAGACGGAAACTCGAAACATATCGTGGTCTTACATAATCGTATGGTGACATAGTTGACTGCCAACATTGGTAACGAAATGTGAGACCATTTTTTTTATATAATACGTACGTAATTCTGCACGTACGCTATTCTTTTACTTAATTATTTGTACAACATCTTATTTTAGACCTTGATAGATGCACGACATGGAAAATAATATCCACGAAATTATCCAACTTTTGTGAAATACTTTTCCGTCTCTCCTCCTTCTTCATCTCCCGTCTTCTTAATTCCGCCACGTCGAGAACAGAACATGTGAGCGATGAAACTCAATCAGGGATTTGGTATCCGATTCGGATGAGCAAACCTACACTAAGAAATTAATCTTTGTTTCTAACTCTGTCCAAAGTGTTCCTTTGCCTGTGGTTTGTTTGTGGAACTACTTTCTCCTCTCCTCCTGAGCCTCATTCGCCATCAGCACTTTCTCCTCTTAGCAATTCATTCAACCGAGTTTATCCTCCATTCACGGCGCAGATTTATTTTGATGGTTGTCTGCTCTGGTCAGTCTGATGAACTGCATAGCCTTTCTTCTTTTTCCACCGTATCTCCAACCAGACGGCCAGATTGTAAACTCGGCTAGGGAAAAAAACGTGTCCTTTCAACTGTCTTCTTTGGCCACAATGGAGGCCGAAATAAAATATTATTTCCTTGAGCCAGATATGTTTAAACAATGCGTGGTACAATTTATGCAAGATGAAATTTAAGTGTTATCCAATTTACGACTATTATTTGGCCCATCCCTATGCAGGGTTTACGCAGTTATGCGATTACTCTGCACATTTGATTCGTTCTGATGCCGACACAAATTAGATGTTTGGAAGAACAGTAAGTAGTACCGGAAATCACCGGTGATTAGTCCCTACTCGAGTTCACCTTACAAGCTAAACTCTCTCTCTAACAAGGGTTATGCATGTTCTTGTTTGATATTCCATGGACAAGTCGAACCTACCTCCAGGATTCTTATTACGAGGTCATTAATTATTCCTATCTGTCAGAAACACATTTCCACTCGTTTCTGCAAATTTCTCCGTTTGCCTGCTCCCACTCGCAAAGTTAACCCCGAGTCTTATGCATGATGCTGGAGGACGACTTCCATCCATGCAGCATCTATTATAATAAATAACTTACCTCCTCCTCGGCATTTCGTGAAGGGGTGTGAGTTGGCTTAAGTGAGTGCTCATACCGTCGTCGTCCTCGTCGTCGTCCTCGTCGTCGTCGTAATGAAGTGGAGAAAGTGTTTGCCATACTTGATTATTACCGACGCCCGTCCACCTTAGTCGTCTCCTGGTTGCTCGAGACGGACGGATGTGCCATTTCATTCTCTCATCACCTCCAACAACCAGGCAGCCAGCAATGCATGTAAGGAGCTGGAGAGATATGTAAGGAGCTGGAGAGAGAGAGAGAGAGAGCTCCTCTCATTATTAGTCATCATCATCCTCATCAATTTCCGCTCCCAAACTCTCTCTTGTTATTTTCCACTTCGTGCTTCGTTGGCTTCTCATTCTCCAGAAAAGCGAATAAAATGGAAATGAATGATACAAATTATTAATGTGCATATTAGAAATTCTCAGACCAGTCCTCCTCCTCCCTAAATTTTGGAGGAGAAAGTTGATTCTGAGGTGAAATTATGTCCAGGTGTAATTAAGAGATGGCAAATGAGAAAATAATGAGGAGAAAACCAAGGGCGAATGAATGATTACCCCCAAAGCATCCATTAAACCATTCATTCCTCCTCTCATCTCTTTGCTAGAACTGTTTGAAGCTCGGTTTTATTCACAAAAATTACCACTCGTAAAACTAACAAGTCTACACAAGTAAGTTGTTAATATTCTCTACGCAGAATATACACAATCAATTAATTAGATAATAATATAATATGTGTAATATGTTTCACAACGACGCACGTTAACCCAAATGTTGTCACTCAGTGAATCTTAACTAAACATGATTTCTTGATTAAACATTAAACATTTAACTACATGCAGTACGTAATTAGCATAAAAGTGAATCCGGTAAAAGGGATAAAAATGTTTTGTTCCAGGTCAAATATAGTTTCACGTTTTGATTTTTTTTTAATATCCGAGATACAAATATAGCTGGGTTATTTTTGTAGGAAAAGAATTTTCTCTTCAATACTTATTTGGATCTTTGTTTGATTTTTTGGTTCCTTTCTTGTGTGTGGCAGACAGATAAGCTGACACGGGTACATACGTGGATATTTTTAAGCATATATTGTACTTTTTTAGAATTTTTTGACATGTAGCAGAAAATAACACGTTTTCTTCTCTTTTTCCAACACAATAGTTTGGCAGAAGATCTATCACTAGGTGTTATCTAGTCTAGGTATGATTCTTATCATCATTATATTATACATAAACTATACATTTACATATTAGTAGATTGCACAATAATTAGTTCATCTAGTTTTCTCTTATGGCTAAATACCTCAGCTAAATAATTACGACACAGAAAATTTGGCTGTCTATTAGTAATATTTCCTTCTTCCACATCTTAGATACAGGGTTTTATTCACAGTTTTTTTTTATTATTACTTATCATTCCCAGAGGTAAGCTGGACACGTAATAATAAAAGGTACACGGAGAGAGGATCGAGTTTAAAATATCCACAGTTTCACAACCAAACTCTTGCAAAAACTAATTACTCGTGACAACGATAACTTTCCTAAACTTGCTAAAACTAAATATTTAGCTACGACTAGTACATACATACTTCATGCTAGCTGAATATTTCTAAAATATACTCTCATCACAATGTGTTGACTTACACTTATTGTTTTTTATATGCATTTTATATTTTGTATGGAAAAACAGATAGATTTTCAATTCAGAAGTAACAACTGCCTAACCTAACACAAATATTTATGCAATCTATTCTTAACTTTATACGCACGTACTAATACATAAGTCCACACAGAAAAAAGCGAGTGCACGACAATGAATTACACGAAACACAACCTACGCAATGTGATGGTCTAATAACTGATTTGCTTTGAGTTCATTAAACTCGTTAGCGTTGGAACAACTCGACGCCATGTAATGAAGCCACCTGCAACTGTACAGTTGGAAAGGAAAGTTTCCCCCAACGAACGAGCGATAGAAATAATTCCGAAATATATTGGATAGAAAGTTCTGACCTAATTTTGCGGATCACCACACTTACTTTTGCTCCTCGTCGTCGTGCCAGTAAATTTCCAACTGAAACAAACCAAACTTTTCTTCGAATTTAGCTGCAGTTAACAGCAAAGATACACAAAACCAGTGAATCATGTTGGTTGGACGTGTGGTTTGGAACAAAGAGTCAATCAATTGATCAACACTATATCCGCGGATGGAGGATAGATACATAGCCACGCAGAACTCTATCTTCCCTCTCCAAACTACTCTTACGTAGATACGTCACAAAATATGAAAAGTGGTCAAACTCAACAACTTTCTGGGCAAGTTGGTTCTCGCGGATGAAATCAAATTAACAATGAGTTGGAAGAGTATGAAATATTTGTAATACTTTCGCAACAAATTCTTCTCCATTTTGGATTAATTAATTACTCTATCGTTTTAAGTTTTGGTCGTCATGATGCAATTCTGAGAGGAAAAGCATGTCGAAAACCTAGGGCTACTTATATAAACTTGTTGAATGATGAGATAGATATTATATAATGTGTTAATACTTTCGCATAGTTTTTACTGTAATATTAGAACATTGCTAATAAATCCTCTGTGAACTGCATGCTTCTTGTAGAAAGAAGCATTAATTCGTTTCACTGCTCCACTGCGTTTTAGTGGTGAGAAGAACTCTGTTAAATATTTCATTTGTTTTCAGGATAAAAATACAAGAAAGATGATGATTCGTTGATGGTTGGCTGGATAAATGAGCGATGGTCTCTGTGGTAGACGCTCCTCTCTCATCCTTCCTTCTCTCACTTCGTTATTAATTAGTTCGTAAGACAAATGCTCCGATATGAATTTCTCCACAGATTTCTCTACACTTAATCAATTTACATTCACCACGACCAAGCCGCAGAATAAATGAATGATATTGAAGCCTCTTTCCCGATAAAATTAATGTTGTGCCATTGGATAGACGTTGCGGAGGAGCTCATTCTTCATTCACTCGCTCCGCACTCTCATCCTCGTCGTCGTCAAAGTCGTGGCTGCTTCTGCTATGGGACGAATTGGGGGAGGAAGAAGACTTGGTAAGTGAGTGACTTATCTTCTCGGGAGAAAGTGCGATGCTGATTTGGACATACATAACGGAAGCCAAAACGTTTCCCCTCTCATTGCAAGTTTAATTGGGCGCTTGGCTTAGTTGATTGTGTGAACGTACGTACGTATGTGGGCTATATGGCACTTCATCACGAGTTCATCTTATCGTCAGCCTACCGCCAGGAAAAGTGGAATTTATGAGGACTGTGGTGATGATGGAGTGGTCGGCCAAAGTGGGTGTGGGGATGTTGGGCCAGATGTTGTTGGTGGGGACGATTGCTGTTGTGGTGAGTGTGGGTGGTGGGAATCACGGTGGCAGAGATGGTGGAAGTTACCGAGGTTTGAGCCCTCTTCAACTTTTTGATGTTGCCCAACACGACTTCATTCTTGGGTTCGATTGTCAGCGCAGCCAGGTAATGGGACTCGGCCTGCTCGTAGTTGCTCTGTTAAATTGCAAAGAAATCGTCATTAGTGTCATCACCAGAATATCTAAGTGGTAGTTGCGACTTGCATAATATTCTGGAAGCCCTTGTCAATCAGCCGTCACATCAAGGCTACTCATACATAGATATACCACAGTACAATACACCATTCTCGGATTATCCTCTCGTGGAAAGTAGAACATGAGCCCTTTACTGTTTATTATTATTTACAACTACGTCCAATATGCACAATTTGCATAATACGTATCTTCTACCCGGCTTGTGTAATACTGACAACGAAGGAGTGCGTCATTACTGAATTGTGATTGACAAGGAAATACATGCACATTGAGTGGATGTACACACTCATTAAGACCCCGTCCGCAGATACCGTATGCAATTCGTATCTTCCAGTTTATTGCATCAAATGACTTTCCCATCAACCTTTGTCTCCTTTCTTGTACAACTACTGATGGGGAAAGTGGATGGAGTATGAAAGTGTAATTGTTCATCAAACTGTGCATTTAACAACAATATTGTACACACGGTATCTGAACACACGTCATGAAACGAATTTCATCTCCGTTCTATTTGTATTTGGCCAAATTGCCCATTCAAGTTTATTCGGTTTTATTGTGGGAACACCAGCGCTAAATTTTGTAATGATGAAAACGCTACAAAACTGTCTCTTACGACTGAATGTATTCCAAGTTTTAAAATTAAAGAGTACAAACCTATGCATTTATACGTTCATATTTTATCTACATAGTTGGCATGCAGTTTGGAGCCTCAGTCAATAACTGAACGTGTAATTAAAATTTAAACCCTTTCACTTTATTGCACCCCGAGAGACGATGAAGGGGATGGGGAAACATAATTGGGGCAATCGGGATCATAAAGCTCAGATTCATTCCACCCTTAACTATCATCTGCAGATTGTGACAAATAAGCCAAAATTTCAGGCAGGGGGGAAACCACAATGTGCAGATTCGGCGTCATATTATGGTTATGATTACAAAGTCCGACCACAATATATGTACATACTCATTCACAATACAGATGCATATATGTGTACATGGCAGTCTATATACCCTAACTTTTGTCTGTATATCGCATAATTTCAATTAAATTAGGTCACACTGAACCCATTTCTTCAACTGCTTATTCTTCATAATTATTACTTTTCTGTAATTAAATCAATCAGTTAACCAACAAACGAACGTATATAATTTCTATTCTCGTTTATTTAGTCGCAATTCAACAACATGGGGTGATCAGTTCTAGATAAGCACTGAAATAGGAAGATATCACCTCTCGCGTAATAACTCCTCGTCCTCCAGATACCCTCTACTGCATCCACCACTAAAGACCCACAAGCCTACATTCTTTCTTCACCTACATGGAAAAAAGTCGGATTTCGTCGTACTTCTTCCATTTCGAGTGGTTGACAACCCAAGATGTCTGTCGCATGGCATTTTCCACCATCACTGATTTTCAATTCCCTGTACTCTGTATGTCGGTGGGCCAGAGCACTTTCTCCCCGTGTTCATTTTCTCTTGTGATCTTTGATGGGAAAGTGGAGAGAAACAGTGAGGTCAAAGGAAACCAACAACAAGTTTACCTGCTGCCTGATTCACGTTCCACCACACACATCACTCTGGTTGGTTGTACTTGTTTTGGTGGTGATGTGGTGATGGAGTTGGTTGCCTGATCAAGCGATCTGATCCCAATCGGATGTTTCTTGGTGTTGGAGGAAGCTCAAAGTAGGCGAGTGCGGAAGAGAGATGATCTCTCACATGCAAGTCTCAACTTTGATCTTTCACTCTTCTACTCTTTTTGACCTTACAAGACTAGCTGCTGCTGCTGCCATCATCTTTGCCCTTTCACTCTCCTGACAGCTACTACTTTTCGGAAGAGCGTGGTGGCCGTATATTTAGCTACATATCTGTCTCACAGGAGGGAAGAAGGAAGGAGCGAGAGAGCAAGTTGTGGTTAGTGGTTGATGGGCACCTTTCTCATGTTTCACACTTTCGTGTCAAAGTCAAAACCATGAAATAAAATCAAATCAAAGAAATGTCGGATTCCACATCTATCTACTAAATGGTGAATTTGTGCAAAAACGTGTTTCCCAATTTCCAAAGGTTTTGGTTTGTAACCAATTTCAAAACACATATTTTTCCTACTTACATAGGTACGTACAATCATAGCATGCAGATGGATTCGTACGTACGTGCTTTCACAGCATGCCATTTATTACAATATTTTCCCACCTTTTCACAATGTATCAATTACGTTCTTCGATAAACTGTCATCCTAACTATACTTGAAGTGAGTTAGTTATGTGCTGTGCGAATGGAGCTAAACTCACGAGAAACCCTAGTCTCAGCACAAGGTACTTCAGGAGGCCGTAGGTTTAAGCTCCACCCGCACAGTACATAACTCGTTCACTTTATGTATAACAATTACTTTTTAAAATATTGTGAATTACGTAGTCAGCCAATGTTTCATTTCCTGCTTTTTTCACAAGGCAGTCATTTTTAAGTAGAAATATTAAGATTGCCGTCATAACACACATGCATTCCACTCAACCCTGCTCCGCTACAGGGTTTGCTTTACGACCCTTTCTCCTCTCGCAGGAGGAAGACGAAAACAAATTGGAAAGTTGATGCAAAACCACGACCACCACCTGCCTTTGAACTTTCTTAACGGCGGAGAAATCCTCCTCGCCGCCGCGGCCACAGCATCAACAACAATACTTGTGAATTTCTTTCTAATATATTTATGTGCGTATATGCAGGAATTCCTCCTCGTTCGACCTCTGCTTATTTTTATTGGGAAACATTATGAGCAGGTTTAAAGAAGGTGAGTGGATGAGTAGTGGGAAGCTCGTGTTTTTCTGGGCAGCAGCAGGTAATCGTAATGCGAAGTAACGTCGTTACCCGAGACACAGTTCACTTTCATCTTGGCATTATGAGTATTTATGATTGCACATAAACGTAACATTATTACAACAAAGGTCCGACCCCGAATCTTGGGTGGATTTAGAGAGATAAGGTTTCATTTCAAAATCCTCCTCTGAATTCGTACCCCTACATATTTACGTCCACACGCTTTTCAATCTTTCTCCTCAGAGAAAAGTCTGTTGGTAAAAGGAATATGCAATTCAACAAAGTTTTTTTTTGTTACAAAATATCCCTCAAATCTCCCTTTCTCGCGTTTTGGTCTGGATGCTGGATCAATAGCCAATAATTGAAACATCTCCGTGGATGCAAATGCTGTGGGGATCAGGAAGAAAAAGGTATTGGTTTGACAGGTTGTTGGTCTATACATACGTTGGACCACAAACAAAAATAAAGTGTCGATCAGCGTATGGAGAGAACACGATTTAGTTTAGTGTGCAGTTTGTTGGTTTGGTTGGTGGCTAAAGTTTAAATCATGATGTGTGGTCAAACTTGGGAGAGTGTGAGCGAGGTGTATTAGAGGTTGAATGAATGTATGTACATGGACGAGGACACAATGTGTATGCAATTTTGTAGGTCGTCTACGCATCTGGTTGGCGAAAGTAATCATTTGTTCGGAGCAGGGGGTCTATTTTCAACGCCGTCTCCAGGCCCCGTCTCCGCACAGCCTCAATCTCATCTCAGCTTTTGCTGGGGTATCAAACTGTTAGGGTTTCTCCATACGTTTAAATCGCCACGAAACACGCCACCACATAGATCATTGTCCTCAACTTTCTCCAAATCATAACACTGGCTGCGGCCATTACAACATGCAAAAAACGATACGATCCCTCTCACTCTCGATATCGCAGTAACATCAACATTAGTCTATTTTATTACACATCGTCATAAATATGAGACCGTGCCTTATACGACTTTATTTATGAAACCCCGTAAGACACTGCTGCTCCTATCATATCGTCCATAAATATTAAAAAATATATTCATTCTACATCATCAGATTATTAGGTAGGTACGCATCCATAACTTCCAATAATCAGAGTTCTGTTAGGACAATAATAACGCCAACCCGATTTTAAAGACTGAACTGCACGGGGAAATTTAGAACTGCTTCGTGTGACAGAAAACCTGACTAGACCTGACATGCATTATGTCCACCGAAGCACACAAATTATTGAAGCGAGATCTTCATATTGTGAGAATCAGCACTATCCGACCTGTTTCGTGGCGTGTCCCCCAAACAAGGCTCTCAAATAAGGCATTTGACATTGCAATGTTGCAAAAGCTGTAAAAAACGTATTTTCTTTCCCCTTCAAACAACCGTCACCGAGCTGTATCCATCAGTCAGTAAAATCCTTGCAGGGAAAGGTGAGGCGGCGGTGGTGCCATGGCATGCGAGCCTGTGTGAGATTTATGTCTTGAGAATTGTGATAATGGTATCATTAAATTGAATGAGACACAACTTCTCAGCCCCGTCATGTCAACTCAATTTCCGCCGACTTATCACCCCGACCGATCCGATCTCATGCCGAGCTCCATTTACTTCCTTCCTCGCTTTCACCCTTATTTTATTTCATTTCTATTCACGCTGGGCCTTCCTTCCCCGTGAGGAAATACACCGGAGCAGATGATGATGATGATGACGACGATGGTACCTGTGTGACCCACAAATTCTTTCTTCCCTCGTCCCCCCAACCATCCACCAAAGCTGAAAATATTAACACTCCCCAACACGTGGTGGGATAAGAAAGGGGACAAATAAAGCCATTTGCTCCTCGTGTGGAAACCAGTGACTGCTAAACTCGCTCACATCGGGATTTGCAACAAACGACGTTAGTCGCTACAGGAAGAAGATGACTGATTTGAAATTTGGTCCGACTCAGTGCACTGCATTGGGAAGAATTCTTTGGCAACAAATTAATTCGGAAATGGAATAAGTCGTCGAAAAGGAACCATAGAAAGAGTGACGGGTGGTGCGGACGACGGTTGTATGCAAATTTATTGGACTTTGTAACTCAACAACTTTTCTCTTGTTACGACATTATTAGATTTTAAGTCTAA